CTGATTCAAACAACTAGATCACGTCTCCAGGGATAAGTATGAAGTAGTGTGCATAATTTTCTAAATTGATGAAATTTGTACCTGTAGGTGACAGTACACTAGAACGGAGTAGATTACACGATATATGCATAAAACTATCTATTTTTCCATGCAGTCTACCAGTTAATAAGAAGAACTGGAAAAGTGTGTGCCGAAAACCGATGCGCATAAAACAAGGTCGTAGCATTTCTGATTACCCAATTTGAATCACGAGTGTGTCCCCTAAACCTTTCTTTCTATTTCCAATCTTTATCGTATTTACTGTTTGTGGTCAAGTTTCTCTCCCAACATACGTACATGTACATGTGGATTTATTACCCAAGTTGTTTATTAGCAGTCAGCGAACTTGGGTTACTAGGCACACTTTAAGTAATTGATATTATTGTAAAACAGCCTTGCGGTAGTGTGACATTGTCCAGGTTTGCCGAATGTGTGTCACTCGTACACAACGTGGTATCAGCGTGACGTACTTAACTAATCCACTATGGACTAGAATTTAACGATTAAATGCGCAGGGAGCTGAAAACTCTCAAGGGGACAGCATTGTCTGAATCCAAACTCAAATTTTATGAGAAGCCCATCACTTCGGACGTGATCTGTCTATTTCCAGTTGAAAAGTTTAATACCAAAAAACTGTATACTCCGCTGCAATGCTTTCACAGGATAACAAGACTGCTCATCATTGTCGAAGAAATCGCTTTCCGACCTCATTTTAAACCTTGAGTCAATTTTCTTTTGATCTTTTCTCGTGTCATGTCATCATGGAACGAGAAAACAAGAAAATTCTCTGTCAATAACTGTTAACGTCACGATGAGGCAGGACTGATCTCGGTTGCAATTTCTTGCACACTATGAAAATGCTCCAATTTCCAGTAGTTTCACGGCTCATTACACACCCAAACATGTGGCACACGTTGGCGATAGTCAACCTTCATGTCAGTTTCAATTTGCCGTCCTGGAAGTAATGATGTCTTCCAAAATCTGGATAGTTTTGACACCTCGTTTGTACACCTTATTGCATTCTGATGGGAAATAATTAATTTTATGAAACAAATAACCCCACCCACAACGAAGTGACAGCAGAAATGGAAATGTTTGGAAATACTGGAAGTGAGCATACAAATAACTCCACTGAATTGATTGATGATATGTCACTTGGGTGGAGAGGTTTAGTTAAAAATTGTACTTTTAACTTAACGATGGGATGCATGCACGCGTTTAAAAATAAGTTGTTCAAGTAAGCTAAATGTGGAAAATAGACATGCATTTGTGTCATTCTCCTCGAAATAATCCCGAAGACTGGACTGGAAACAGAAGTATTTAAAAGCGAGACAAAAACACGTTCGTGCGATGAAATCGAATGGAAATGCCAGAGACGAGACGAGATTTTTTTTTCAAATCTTCTTGTCCAACACTTAAACAACGTGAGAATATTTACGATGGGTTTTAGCCCTGTGCCCATCCTGCGTTTAGTACGGACAAGTTAATAAATAAATAAATAAATGCTTCAGCCATTCATTATTAAGCTGCCAACTCAAAAACGAACTTTTACTTAACGAGTTGAAACAGTTTTAAAGATAAACATTGCACTCATCGTTGTGATTCGTGGGGCGTGACTCATTCATGAATGAGATTGCCAGACGTGAATGCATGCCTACAGAGTACAATTTGGTAAGTAAGTAGAGTGGGGTGGAAGTTATAAGTTATTTCCGGTGGTGTGATTTCAATTTGTAATGTCTCTTCCATCTCTCACGTTAAAATGTGCAAGCATATTTGTATCTCTGGACACATTTTTCAATTTCAGCCGGTTATGCAGTTAGACAGTCGATGAGTCGATGAAATTTGAGAGGGATAACTACATACATAACTAACTTACATTATTGACATGTGAGTTTATGCATGAATTGAATTCCTCTCACACATGCTGGTTATTTAACGGTGAATTTAGAGCAGGAATTTTGTTATTGAAAATATCAAACACAATAAGTCGTAACAAGGAAAATGGAAGTTGATACCTATAAATGCCTCCAGGAATTTTGTTATTAATACTTACAGCAATATGAGACTGTAATAAATATGTAACGTCGAGGCGTAAATTGTCGATACACATATTAAAATAATTCAACATTTATCCGAATCGTAGTATCCTTTGTAAATCTATATAGCTTGTCTTAAAACTGACTCGGTTCACTCTTACTTTGAATGGATGGATATTTCCACATGCAAAACGACACCTTTTATAACATAAAAAATAGTGTGCATAAGTACGAGCATACATATTTCGATATTTGTGTACATTAATAATGCAAACTTGCTCAGGAGCAATGCAGTGCTTGCATACTTATCAAAATGCCTGATGGTGAAACCAGTTTCCAGCCATCATGCACATTGTTGATATTCCATGCTAATTTTGCACTACTGCCAAGACAAAGTCATTCTCTTGCTGTGTTGCCTCTCATCTCGGAAAATTTTTACGATGTCTTCCCACCTCGTTGCGATGAGCCAATCTTGACTATGCTAAATCTAAACATCAAAGGTGAAGGTCAAAGTTAAGAGTTTATGGTTTCTAGCAGATGGCGTCATCCAAACACGACAGTCGTGTATTATATCTGCATGCTAAATAGTTGCCATTGTCTTTCTTTCTCCGTCTTGACTTGGTCAGGTCAGACAGCGGAGATTTCTGTCCTTTATTAGCATCAAAGATTACCATGTGGTATAATACCCCTCCTGGTATTACATGTCTACACATTTTTATCTGGGTTTCTCTGCAACGTGTCAAATTCTGCTCGAGTATAGTAGATTTTGTAAACCAGATCTAACTGGAAATTTATTGATTTCGTATTAATTTGCTCAATTATAAAGATTCCTGTTTTGCTAAGTTGGGTCTAACGCATACGAATGCAGAATCTTGGCAATAATTCAATGAGGGGTGTATGCATACCGTCTCGCATGAAATGATAATAATGGGTACTGTGCACTTTTACACCCATCAATTCCCCGTCATCAATTCCCCCCATCCATTCACACCCGTATTATGAAATGTTAACAATGCATCAAAAGTCTCCCCAGTCCCCACTAGACCTTCCATTACCCACCCGAATAATTATTGATTTCTGACTTTTTCAATATTGATCCCGAGTGACCTGACACTGTTTACTGGGTCACGTACAGCGTTTGCGTAAATATAAATGTTTTGTGAATATTTTGGGTTTAATATTTTAATAAATTTTGGAATTTTTAAGAAAAAATTCCTTAAGAATTAATTTTTTGGGGAACTTGCGGAAAAGTTGAATTTTTTTGAAGTTACGGTCTATGCTAAACACTCAAAAAGCTTTTCATTACAAGAATCAGAGTTCCAGTGGGAAGAGTTTCGGTGCATTCGTGCATTGTTGGTATTTCATGGCATGCGGTATGAATTGATAAAGAGGGGAAATCGATGACGAGGAATTGATGGGGGAGAAGAATTAGAAGTGATGGAATGAATGAAGGAGAACTTGTCTTAATAACGTGATTTTTTTACCTAATCAAAGTAATTCCCGTTTACATAATTGTCAACGCATGCTGTTTATCCAAGAGACAAAAGACTTTTAATAAGCCAACACTAAATCTTGTGTTGTGTTGACATTCTTTCGTGTAGTGTTTGATTCCGACGTGTAGTTGTAGTTATCAGACTCACAGATCTATTGCTACATATACCAAAACTAGATGTACATACATGCACCTTATTATTCTTCCAAGGGGTCAAACTTAAATGTTGGATGCATATACATACATCGTGGCTTTATCACCACAATATGTACGCATTCACAATAGTAAATACATGTTTTTTGTGTAATGAGTTCTTTTATATTTATCGTATTCGTGGCACTTGGCCAATCAGGAAGTGCTTATCCAGGCTCAAGTTTCTTCTGTCCAGACAAAGCTACGAATTATAGCCTACGATGCTATTCATTTGTTCCAGTCCAGTCACTCAGTCAGCAATCAACAGATAACTACATATGTACATAAATAACGCGTGAGGTATTTCAACCGTGTGCCAATTCTGCGACGGGTAGCAATTATGCATTTCAGTGTAAAAGATAATGGTGGAAGGTACTTTGATTACAAAACTCTATACAAATTTCATTCATTTTGTGTAATCTGCGAATAAAACATGTTCTCATTTCCAAAGTAAATAATATTAAATCCGGAACTACTGCAAACTGTTATGTCGGAAAGCACTTGTAAATAAATTAATGCATTGTTGGGCATGTTTTTGCATTGATACGATGAGACGTAGCATGGGATGAGTCGTCACAAATTTCCTTACACATTTTTTAATGTACCCCACTCACCCATTGTTAAAGACGGATTTAGTAAATAACGAATGATACGCGATTCCTGTGTGCGAATCTATGTACCACTATTGGATCATGCTTAATTTATTTAGCATTTGATATTTCTCACTCTCTTTGCATATTATGATGTTTGTTATTGATTTAAAACTCAAGGTGATAATGAGTTGACACAAAGTAAATGTGGAAATAATTAGCTGTTGAAGTTTAATTTTAATTTGATGAGCAACTCACTCAGTCAGCCTCAGTCAGCGCAGAAGGTTAGTTGTACTTTTTCTCATGGTTTGATTTGATGCCTAATTTCGGTACTGTGGTATGGTTGGCATTTATTTGCGGTACATGTGCATCATGGTAAAATATTTACCAAACATGAGATCTTTTGAGACTACTCAAGTCTCTGAAGTGAGAAGTGAAAGAATGATTTATTGCGTAATGTATTTGTTTATTAAAGTATTTGCATTATTGGTTAGACTTTTTGACTTGTCGAGATCAAAATGCGAAGTGGTCGGCATGTCGGCCTTGATAATGTCAATAGTCAAAATGCATTAAATGAATCGAGAGAAAACAGAAAGTTATTAACCGTGACCCATGGGAAATCAACTTTAAACGAGAAATTATTATTTTTTAGTACATCTTGATAAATTTTATTAGTTGGTGCCCAGCTTTAATGCAATGGAACATTGAAACTAGTGAATTTTAACATGTTTTATACACTTACATACATACATCAATCTTGCATACACATATTTAAAAGCAGATTTCTTTGATACTATTTATTTAACAGGCTAATTGCAGCATCAAGTTAAAAATACATTTCTTGCATGTAGGCAATTTTATATTCTGGACAATTCTGACATGCACAATTTTATTGCATATTTTTTCTAAAAAATATTCTCCTTCTTGCGAAAGTCATGCATCTTATCCATCTCCATAACATTTTGCCACAAAATAATGCTTCGATGCTTGATTATTGAACCATTAAAGTTAGTAAAGTTCAAAGTGACGTAATATGTCCAAATCTTGAAGATAAGCATAAAGATGCCGATAAGGGCAAGAGACCTTCGATTTGCAAGGATATTTAGGACGCGGAGATTATTTAGGAATCCTCTCGTTCCAATTTCGTATTTGCCTTGTACGACACGAGAAAAACAGCGGCAGTCTCTAACAAATAACAATCAACCAAATTTCTAGTCAGATTTTTAAATTTTTAACTAAAGTGACTTTTAATTAAATTAATAATTATTATTTTTAAACCTTCGTCCCATTCAAAAATTCTTCAAAAAAATGGAGCACAAAAATTAAAACAAAAAATATCTCAGGTCTGATTATACGTATTTTCAAATTTGTCGATTCATTTGGTTTAAATAAATCATTATTGAATTGCATTAGTATTAGTAATTTAATTTGATCCGTAACTACTAAACACCAAACTAAATCCATTCTTAATTTTATGTTGACTTAACTATTTTGTGTTACAGAAGCAGCAGACTTACTTGGAATGCTAGTGATCACATGAGCTCTGCTCCTTCTTCTAAACCAACTTAACTAAACTAACTGCTCAAAGTATTAACAAAAAAGAACGGATCTACTACTCGACGAGTCATTCTTATTCCTGCTGCTGCTTATCTTCTTTCCTTTCCGTGGAGGACCATCACCACCACTACTTCTCAAGAAGAAATTGTTATTAGTCGAGTAAGTGAAGCATAGTTTTAGTGACGGCATTTTTCCATTCCACATTTTCCCGTTTCAAGTTGAAGGAGGAAGGCTTTTAAATAAAGCTCGGAATTTAATCACACTGTTTTTTTCTTTTTCTCTCCCATGTGTAGTGAAATTTTGTGAATGAAGAGCTGCACATGAACAACTGTGCTTCAAATTGAAAAAACGAAGATCCTGTTAAACGCTGCTGCTGAGCTACGTGCGAGGACGAGTAACAAGGAAGAGTTGGTGCACTTCTTACTACTTTAAATTTACGACTACTATAAAATCTGTTCCAGATTCAAGCAAGAGAGAGACTTGTTTAGTGTTTATGGGAAGCAAGTTCGTGATGGAACAGGAACAGATTGACTCCTTGGGTCGAGAACAAGTCGCCTAATTTTCCGAGCATCATGAAGAGGAAGAAGTGTTCCGATAGTTGCAAAAGTCTCACGATAATTGTAAAGTAAGAGTTTAAATTAGTTCTGAGAGAAGACACCGAGAGAGAAAAACAGATACAAAACAGAGAACATTGACTATTTAATCGTGTTCAAGTTTGGTGAACAGTGTACGCACGTAGGTGTAAGTATATTGTGAAGACCAAGTTGGTAAAACAATCGTGGGTGTGGTGTAGAGACGCTAAGAGATAATAGGAAACTGAAAATGACAAACTCCGAGGAGCCCAGCGCTCCTGATGGTATTTCCTCCATGAAAGTTTCCGAAACCTTTGGAACCCAACATAATCAACTTCACCATCATCACAACAACTTTGGCAATTATGCAAATGGGGATTTGAAGGGGAGCAATAGCAGTGGTAATAGTAGTAGTAATGGAACAACAACACAAGCGTGCGCCCTGGCACCTCCTCCAGTGTGTGGTACTAATAATGGTGCGGCGGCTTATGCCTCATCCTCATCCTCCAGTTCTTCAAGCAGTAACAACCACCATGAACAACCAGATAATTGCAATCATTACCATCATCAACACCATCATCTTGTAGCAAATTCAAATTCAGATCCTCCACCCCCTCTGATTACCGTCGCCCCTGCGACAAGTCAACTACCCGCGTTGCCCTTTGCATTGATTTGTGGTGAAGAATTGGAATACAAGACTGAAGTATCGGATGGGAACTTGGTATTGACCAATTATCGACTCTTCCTTCAAACGAAGGAGGCCACATACAACCTGCCCCTTGGACTCCTGGAAGGTGTTGAGTGTCGCGATATCTTTTTCCTCCACATCAACTGTAAAGATGCGAGGTGTGTTCGATGTACTTTTCCAAATAATGAAGCTACCCTAGATATGCTGAAGCGAATTCAGTCCGCCATTTCGCCCACGAAAAAGGTCGACGACAACTTTTCTTTCACCTTTTACAAGAAGACGAAGGAGGGTGTGTCGGAGGAAGTGAAGTCACACCTGGGCTGGGACCTGCCTGAATTTCCTTCCCCAAAGGAAAGATTTGATGCGGAAGTGAAGCGGATGGAGTTTAATGTTCAGGGACCTTGGAGGGTCTCTGACGAGAATAAAGACTACGAGCTATGCAACTCGTACCCAACACACATTATCGTTCCTTGCGTCATGGATAAGAAAAAGTTGGAACAAGTTGCTTGCTTTCGAAGTCAAGGTACGTGTTTTTATTACATTAATACTTTATTATAAACTGTATATGTTGTGAATCACATCTTCGTAACATTTACTTGGTACAATGAATGGAATAAAAAGATGACAATTTAAACTAAAACATTCAACTTCCATTCATTTTCGCAGTCACCCAACTAAATGAATAATTATTTTTTTAATTAATTCAGGTCGAATTCCAGCCGTGGTCTGGAGGTGAGCTGAGAATTATTCATAATCATACAATCATGAATACTTATATACATTTGTATTCCATCTTCATCAGCATTTACGTAATTATAATTATAAATTTTCCTTGTATTTTTTAAGACACAAGGGAAACGGAGCTGTGATAAGTCGCTGCAGGTAAGTTTACTACTTGGTCAGTCAGTTTAATACATTGATATGTATTAAATGTATTTATATCGCTGCAGTCAACCTGAAGTTGGATGGTTTGGATGGAGATCGAACGAGGATGAGGAATTAGTTCAAAACATTGTGCTTGCCTGTGCCGACAACGGAAGGGTTGTCCCTTCAGAGTCCCAACAACTAAAAAATGAGCCAAAGACTTCTTCCCCTGTATTTGACAATTCTTATGGTGGTGAATATTCTTCCTCTTCTGAGGGACCTCCATCCCCTGGATCCAATGGATGTAATTCCCTGTCCTCCATGGAGGTTGTACCTGAACCACCAAACATCAAGGTGAGTCTTCTTGCTGCATACCTACCGATTTGTTCAATCTATTTTTAAGCAAACCTCATTTCTGAAATATATGCAAATCCCATTGACTAATAATAATAAATAAGTATGTATTATTACTAAAGACGATGCAATCCTTTCTCATCATTCTTTGTGTCTGGTTTTTTTTTGCAGAAACTTTTAATCCTGGATGCCAGATCATATTCCACAGCCGTAGTTAACCGTGCCAGAGGTGGAGGTAATCACCTATTCGTTATTCCATATTCATTCCAGTGTATATTTATATTAGACTCTATTATATATCCGATGTAATAATAATGTCATGTGTTTCCAGGTTGCGAATGTCTGGAGTATTATACAAACTGTGAGATACAGTTTATGAATTTGGCCAATATACATTCCATACGAAAGAGCTTTATCAACGTCCGTCAACTATGCTCTGGTACAACAACCGACCAAGTTAATAACAAGTAAGTGAACAAGTAAGACTTAAATATTTATAAACGTCTTGCACTGGAGTATAAATGTTAAAAAGATTTTCCAGAATAACAAAACACAGCTGACTATTACTTCACCATCCATATTATCGTATTAAATTCTGGATTGCAACATTTTCAGAGTTATTATTGACGTTCTTATCTCTAATTTAAAGCAAGGAGTGCACTTTAACCTTTACTCCTGCTCAATACATTCAACATGTAGCTCGTGGGGATGAGCGCAAGGATGTCTTTTTGTTATCTTTCATTCCAACCAAGCTTCCTAATATGCCCAATGAGATATTTATTTCAATACTATCTGCATAAATAACTTGAACATAGTAAGTACACGAGTAGTAGATAAACATTTGTGATGACATTGACTATTTTTGGATTGATGAAATAACAACCACATTGGTTGACATCAAGTCGGCTCAAGTTTTGCACGCTTCTTGTCTGTTAAATTCAATGACAATTTGTGAAATGTCGATTTAAAAAATCGGCTTTGGTTAAGATGCATGACAATATAATGATATGCAAAATAACTTTACAACTTGAGTAATATTGCAATAAGAAGAGCGACCTTGTTGAAGTATTTGCAGTTTCTAATAATAATATTGTCGTATATTTTTAGTTGGTTCAGTCAACTTGAAAGCTGCAAATGGTTGCAACACATGTCGGGACTGATGAAGGCTGCTGTGACCGTTGGGACTGCGATTGAGCATGAAGCCCGACCTGTAATGGTTCATTGCTCTGATGGGTGGGATAGAACTCCCCAAATCGTGGCTTTGGCCGAGATCTTACTTGATCCTTATTATCGAAGTTTGGAGGTAAAGGAAATACATTAAATTAAATTACTGATGCGCAATGAACTTGTAAATAAATGATGAACAAATGAAATTATTGGTCTTACAATAACCATTTTTCAATGTTTGTTGCAGGGATTTCAAGTATTGATAGAGAGAGAGTGGCTGGATTTTGGACACAAGTTTGCCGATCGTTGTGGACAGGGTGTTGGTTCGGAAGATGCGAACGAAAGATGTCCAGTTTTCTTGCAATGGCTGGACTGTTTGCATCAACTGATTAATCAGTTTCCAACCGCTTTTGAATTTAATTTGACATTCTTGGTAAGAGCATTGAAATATTGCACATCATACCATTTATACCATATTATTACATTGTTGTTTAATATTGCGTGTGGTTATGAATTCTAAAATAATGTTTCTTGTTTGGCTTATTTTCAGATTAAACTTGCTCAGCACACTTATTCCAACCTTTTTGGGACATTCCTTTGTAACACAGCGAAGGAACGGCTTGCTTTGAACGTGTATTCGTCAACACATTCAATTTGGCGATTCCTGCGTGCACCGGCTAACTACGGCCAATTTCGCAATCACCTGTATAGTAATTGTGATCAGGTACGTTTCATAATCAAAATGATTTGATAATTTCGCAAGGTTTTCCCTGTTTGGCAATGATAGTAATAATAATAATGCCTAATAATTCACTTGTTTTTGCGTGTAGGTATTATGGCCTAGTTGTGAAGTTCGAGAGCTGAAGTTATGGACACAAGTCTATTTAGGTTTCGATAATTCCACTCCAGTTCTAACAGAAGTCATAAATCCCAGTCAAGAATCCTCTCCAGCTCCGTCGGTAGCTGAAAGTGAGACGTCGGATACAGTTTCCAACTACAAGTTAGATCAGTCAAAAGGACGCTCGTCATCGTGTGAAAATTTACATTTTCCGCACGCTGGGACCCTGCAGCGTCGGAATAGTGATCCTAGTTTATCGGATAGGTATGAATGATGAGAATATGAAAGAGGTTTAAGAAGCCCAGTTCCATGTTTTCAAAACGTATAATTGCACTATCATTATATACTTTCTTAACCCGATATAATCATTCTAATGAAATTATTTAATTTTTTTAGTGTTTTAGATATCGATTCGACTGAGGAAGTAGAAATTCGCTGTCTTCCTCAAACCGAGAAAATGTTAACCGCCGCTTCCAGAGATATCGATAGAAATCGAACTGCCAGTACTAATAGCGACTCTAACGCTTCTTCAGTATCAAAAGAGATGACAACGTTCGCAATTGCCGACACGGAAGACTTTTCAGAAAATGAAGATACAGAAACAAATTCAGAGGAAAAGTCAGAGTCAACCGTCGTCAACTTGAAATATTTAAAGTCCATTGAAAGTTCCACGGATACACTCGTCGCAGAAATGGGTGTGACCCACGAGTCCTCGGTTGGGATTGGGATTCAAAGATTTGTAATGGATGTTAACAATAAGACTGAACGAGATGTACTGGATAGCGTCCGGGCAGATATTTTACGAAAGACTGAAGCTGAACGACTTCTAGATAACACCAACCATGAGAAGGAAATTGAAGAAACTACGGCAAAACTCCGATATTTGTGTGATACATCATCATTGCTATACACTGACAAATCTGGGATTAAGGATTTGGTCCAACCAGGTTCTGATTTGGACCAAATCATTGGAAACCAGCAATGCGAAGTTTGCGCAACCAGTAGGAAACTTTTATCCGACGATGTACCTACTACTAATCCGAACGGAGTTGTATCGAACGGATCTATTACCACCTTGAACGGTACAATTGCAAATAACACCACCACTACTACCACTAACAACCTGGCCAGTGTTCAGACAACTCTTCAGACGTCTTCCTCAATAAATTCTCTTGGAAATAATGCGAGTAATGGGAGTAAATATTCCAGCCATAACACCCCCTTACATTCAAGAACTCCTTCCACTGGGATTCCTGTTCCCCCAGAGGAATCTTACTTTTTCGGGAAACCCGTAGCTGGAGAAAGATTTATTAATCATCATTATCATCATCAGTATCATCATTTTGACATCCCGTCGACACGATTGGGAACACATGATGTAGATGGACTAGAACCTCTTCATGACCAAGTCCAAAGTAGACTGCATACAATTATTACTGGATACAGGGTACGTGTTATTTTACCGTCTATTAATGATTATTGCAATACAACGTTGCCATAATTAATTTATATTTTCGCTACATAGGGCAAGATTGACATTCTCCAGAGAGAGTTGCAAATGTACCGCGATGCGTTAAAGAAACAAGTGTGTCATCAGTGTACTCATCATATGGTGGACAGACAAGACGATGTTGTAAGTTTTAATTAAAAAGAAGCAAATTGTTGTCTCTCTGATGTTTTGGGGGTATCTAATAAAAATCAGCAACTATCCATTTTAAAATTACATGTAAATTTTGTGGCAGATTTCGGTAGTGGATTCCTTATGCAGTGTTGAACATCAATCTGTCGGACATGAGTCACATTCCTCATGGGAAGCAGTGGACGAACGGGACACTCGGCCCCCACTTTGGTTACCAGACTATGCTGTCACAAGATGCATGGGTTGTGAAGCTACGTTTTGGTTGGGAAAGCGTAAACATCACTGCAGGTGAGCATGTTGTACTAATTATTACTTTCTATATACCTACAAATACACTTTATTAACGTGGTGTGGGTGATTGTTTAATTTCACAACTTATTGATTATATTAATTTAATCCAGGTCGTGCGGAAAAATATTTTGCGCAGATTGTTCAGAACACGCCATCACAATTCCAAGTGAACAATTGTTCACTCCAGTCCGAGTTTGTTCTACTTGTTTCTACCAATTAAGCAGCCTTAATCACGGTATGAGCAGTTCGTCACCAGCATCATCATCATCCAGTAATACAAATCCAGCATCTGTAAAATCTAACGGGCACCATCTGAACGGCAGTTCTTATCTTCATGCTAATCATCACGCCAGTACTTTTACTAACCAAAATGGGCTTAATCATCACCGTGGGTCAATGTCTGAGTACACATTATCTCCTGATTCAGTTTCACCAAGCTCTTCCCGTAACTACCGAAGGATGTCGGACGAGCTCCCACGAAAACATCAACAACAATTCCCAGTTTGTAATGGTAACAGTGGAAATGGAATGAAATTCAAGAGCAAGCAACAAATTCTTAATTTGACACCTAACGAATACCCGCATGTGGGTAATGGTATTGATGATTCAAGAGTGTGCGAATCCAGTAATGGTCACTTGTCCTATCAGTAGTTTTTAAAGTAATTTTCCGTAGTATTTTAATGATGTCGTAAAAATTGAACGTTGAACGTATAAAAGATTTTATCTAAAACTATTATCAGAACTCTGAGATATAATGATTAACAGAGAATCAATAAAGTTACATTTTCAATGCAAAATTAAACCTCAAACCCAACTTGTGTCAGATACATCGATCTATTATTTTTACCCTATGGGAGCATTTATGAATGATATGTGTACACTCGATGCATGAAATACGTAGAATAATTTTGTTGTATTTGTACGAAAATAAGTTCCAAATAATCATCCAAAACTAATTTCGCAACTATTTTATTTCGAATTTACTTTATTTCCATTGCATTTTCATTCATTTCTTATGGCGTAGCAGTAGGCACAGCCGCAACAACTGTTGGGATGGCTGGAACTGGGGCGATAAAGGTGAACACGCTATCAATCAGTGTGGTAAGGAAGTCTCCCACTCCGGCAAAAATATTGGGAAAGTAGGTGACGAGTGGAGAAAAGTTTTCGCCAACCCCCGAATCACGAACCTGTCCTGCAAACACCAAAAGCGTATCAATCGCGCTGGACATGTCAGTTGGAAGGCGGATCTGATTGCTTCGGATGAGTCGCAGCGTCTCGATGAATTGGGTGGGTCCGTCCAAGAAGATGAGACGAGGCATGTACGCGACCACGTTCCCGAGTGAAAAGGTGTTGGTGACCAAACCTCGGATCATGAGTGCAGCAGCATTGCTCACATTCGCTCCAGCAATGGCGCTCGAGTTGGCCAACGTGGTCAGAGAGCTGATCAAGTTGTTTTGCAAGGTATTGGTCGCTCCTTCCAAAGCTTGTCGCGCAAGGCCTACCTTCTCCTCTTGGACTTGGTCGGTGGTGGAAACTTTAGGAGCTTGGGGGTGGGCATGACACTAAAATAGTACATTGAAACAATAAAAACTAAAAATTCTTAGATCTTATATTTGGAAATATTTTTGCTGGAGTTACCGATGCGACAAGGACAAGGGCGATAAAGATGATCTTCTTACTGTCCATTTTTACTTGGGCTATGACGATTACTGCGTTTGTTCGGTGGCTTTGTCTTCTTGGACGTCGACTTGTTGCTGAAAAGCTGCTTGAGTGGTTGCGACGGTTTCTCCACAGCTTTTATACACGCACAGGATGGATTACGTGATTGAGCGTCGATGACACATTCCACAGTTGTACCGGTGGTGGTGACCTTATTAGTATGCTCTTTATGGCATTCCCATTTCTGGTTACTGCTTCATCTCTCCACACCTGAACCTGAATCATTGTCGCGTCAATAACTTAATTCCGTGTGTCATGAGCATGTTCTCATTAATAGAATAATAATGTGATAAAATTAGGAAAGATGTGCCTATTGGAAGGAATCGTAATAAATTCTTGTGCGTCGTGGGGTTAATGACTTATTTTCAGTAAACATAATAGACTCGGTTTTTAATTGCTACCTTAATTGATTTCGATTGACACATATGTCGCAATTTATGAATATAATGCAGGGAGTGATTCATTAATGCTCCACCTCCAGAATATGGAAACAATAGAAATATCACGCTGAATTATTGTATATTTCATTTGCTCAAAATAATTTATGAAATGCGACGCCTTTGTCATAAAGTGGGGGCGGTCAAGTATCAAAGTCGTTGACACAATACCCAGGGGGAGATTTATTTGATACTTTTAATCGCACTTCCCTTCGCTGAGAGTTTAGCTTATTGCTTTTGGCATTATTCTAAACAACTCTTTGAAAATGTTAGAAATTGAGCGATTTTTATTTTAAAATTTCGTAAAAGTGTCGGCGTTTTATAGGTTTCATCTATTTATTCAATTGATTATATTTCAATATCAAGCAAAGGAAATTAAATTCAAATTTGTTGACTTGGCTGATCTCCTATAAACCCTTCAACTCCATCCACAATTGCATCTATTCCGGCAAACAGGTCAGGCAAATTGGTGATGAGAGACTGAAATTGGTTCACATCCAACTCCTTGACAGCGTCGATAACTTTGTTGAGCTGACTTTTCGGTGGTGGGGTCGTGACTACAGGTTTGGGCTGGGGTTGAGGTTGATGTACCACGATTCTGATGGGCGTTGGGGTGGTAGAAGGTTTACTGACGGTAGGCGGCTGAACCTGCATCCCTCCTTGACCGACGACAACATTTTTGGTCTGGGTTCCCACGGTCTGAGCATTACTTTGCTGCATTTGGGACGGTTGTTGTTGTTGGGGTCGAGGTACCAGAATTACGGTTTCCTGAACTGGTATAGGTGCAGGGGCGACGACTTGGGCAACGGGTGCAAGGGTAGCGTCCTCATCACCATCTTCATCCTCATCTTCCTGCCTTCCTTTGATTATGAGCCTGGGAAATTCTTCCTGGAAAATGGAGAAAAGTGACGATACGTTCACCTAATTATTTATTACTTCACTAATTAGTTTACATACCTCCTTAATCATCTGAATCAAATTAATGAACTGATTCGTCTCCGAGTCTTTCAGGATGAACGGTAACTTTTCCACGACAAGTTTGAAATCCAGTTCTCCGTTCAAAACCGATTTCATTAGCCGCAATATGTCCTCCTTCCTCCTCTGCGTACTCGGTGGGCCGTTTATCAACATTGCGGCCAAAACTCGGATGAAATTAATCCTGATTGTTTTCTCAATTTCTTCTTTCGCCAAATTCACAAGCGTGCTGTTGTCAGAATCAAAAATTTTCTCGATCCTTTCTGCCAAATTGAGGTTGTGCCTTATCCTCAGATTGGAGTTGCTGAATTGATAGAGCGAGATGCCGTGGTCTGGATGTTGGCGTCCTTCAAATCGCATATTCATTTTCCCCATCATCAGCTCTCCCCTGAGTAGTTTAAGGTCGGATTTAATCCCCATCGCAATTTCCGCTGTTGCCATCACAGCTCCGGATATTACTTGAATAGTTTTCGCCATTTCTGAAAGTTCTAAGCTTTGAGTATCCACTGCAAAATGAGGGTCGACGTTGTCAAGTTGGTTGTACGCTTGCTCTTCTGGGGATGCGGTTGGCAGTGACATGCCTTCAGTGTGATGATGGAGGATCTAGAAAAAAAATCACTGAATTATAAATCTTTAAGTGCAAATGGAGATAACCTTTAATAATTAGGCCATACTCACAAATACGGTGACCAATTTCAAACCAAATGATGCCGTCATGATCGTCATTTTAATTTGGCTTATCCGGCTGAGAAGAATATTGATATCTTAGGAGATGACGACGTCAGAAAATGGCCAATCAAATGACTTCCTCTCGCAGAGGAATGGCAAATGTGGAAAAGGTTTTTTTCGAATCAAAGATGCTTTATCATTCCGCTCCAGCCAATATAATATACCATACAAACAAAGCAGTAAATTTCATAACTAATGATATACACAGATTCAGCTATATTTACCGTGAGGTGAATGTCCAATTCACATTGTTCACGACGTGGGGTGATTATTAACACGCCGACTACTGACTAGAATATGTTGTACACAGACTATTATTTGAATATTCTGATATTGGTCCGGTTTGTTTGATAATATGGCATCTGCAGAAAAACCAGATAGATCCACTACTCCATAGATGCATGCATGAGTTAAATATGTCCCAAAATAATAAATTAGCTGTTCCATTTACTAACTTTTCCGCAATTCACTTTATTAGGCGTAATAATACTAATTCGTCTCAAATAAATATCAATGTATTTATAATTTATTATTCATCATCCGCACTTCCGGCCAAGAGTCTGGACTCCCAACTGTCCAAGAATCCGTTCAAATGCTCCAAGAATTTGTAAGCCTCTCTCGCACCCTGCAACAAGTCTGGGACCCCTTTTCTCAAAGCTTCCATTTGTGATGCAACCCCACTTACGGCCGTACTAACTCGGGATGGCTTCGTTGTGTAGTCGTCATCGAAGCCATCGTCGGTTTCTGTGGTGGAGCCAGCTTTTATGTCTATGCGGATGTGTAGACAAATTAGTAGAAGGCCAAATCTGAAATTACATTCCATGATTAATGATTATCTGATGGACTTACACTTTTTGGGGGGAGCAGTTGAGGAAAGAGGAGCAGCAGTGGCATTTGGTGTCCCAAAGTTTTTCCAAATGGATTCAAAACCATCGATGAGCATCATTGGATGAATCCCTTTGAAGGCGAACTGTCTCTTGACCCTGTTTAAGCTTCTTTTGAAATCATCTTCCGTGTCTTCGTCCTCCTCCTCGTCGCTCTCCGTGTTGATTGCGGCACCTCTTTCACCGAGTGGTTGTACCCCGGGTGGTGGTGGTGGTGGTGGGAATGCTGGGGCTGATGTCGTCACATTTTCACTTGATGGGAGGGTCGAGTTGATGGGAAATGTGAGAGTGGGCACAGGAGTCGAGGAGTTGAATCCCTTTCGAGGTGGTGGGGTCACCGGTCCTCCTTCCGGAGTTGCTGTGGAAGTGAATTGGCTCGGATCGAGCAGATTAGCCACACCCACCAATTGGTTCCCGATGGGTCGGGGGAGCAGCTTGGAAGCGTTCTCCACGTACCGGGTCACGTTCACATTTTGACCGAAAATGGCTTGAACAATTGTGGCGAGCTGGTGGAAGATTTTTGTATTTATAAATATTAGTAATAATAATACGCATGAATGTGCTTTACTTGTGGTAGTATTCCTGGGTCCGGAGTGGCGGCTGTAAGCAATATACATCAATTGCGCGTACATATTGCCAACTTCCTCACAAAATTTAATAATGTGGAACTTACTTTCTTCTTCATCGTCATCCTGTCGTGGTTGGCGTGGCCTGGTTTGCATTGAAATGGTCTCCAATTCCTTCTCAGCAGCGCTCTTCAACGCCTGGAGGAATTAGTTGAAATATGTAGTCCAAATATCTCATTTTAAAAATTTCAACATCTTCTTCACATACCTTGAACAAGTTTTCCTTAATCTTGGCCCCGATGTATGCTCGAGCTGCAATTCGGACCGTTTCCATTTGGTCGATCAGTTCTTGTCTTGAAGTCACCACTTCATGCTTTACTTTCCTCTCGGTCTGGTTTAGGTAATCTCCATCTTCCAGGTTTGGGTCGAAATTCTGTGCACCAATGCTTTGTAAACTAGCCATTAGAACCAGGATGTAAAAGACACACGGGTGGATATGCATGTTGGACTTTGAAAAGTTTTTTTACTCGAATTATTTTACTACTCGTTCGACTTACACCAATCAAATTTTCTTTGTATTAGCTTCATATCCAGATTGGTATTTATAGCTGGATCAACTAATTATAATTTCTCTCGGTGGGTGGGTGACAAAAACGACTGACTTTGTCCCACATTCGGCATTATATCATGAATGAATATACAGTGTCCACTCCAGTTGCATGTAATCTACCCACATTTTCAGAAATGTATGCCTTGTTGTCCCACTTCATCTTTGCATTAGTTCGTGTGAACAGCTATCTGATCGAATTGTATTGTGAAAGAGAAATTATGAGCCGTTGTAATGAATTATAATTAGTGTGGGTAATAAATCATCGTCGTATGTGTCGTCTCCTATGTGGGTCTACATATTTGGTTTGGCCCCGGCGAAGGTTTATCACTACAGATATTTATGTATGTATACCATACTGCATTTGGTCATTAGTGGACCACTAATATTTGTTATTGTAGATTTCAGAAAAAAAAATGCTTCTGTTTTGCAATATATAAAATTGTGTGTGAATGAATAGGATGCAATTTTTTGTGAGTATGATAATTGGTTTTGTATATATCAAAATTTTTAGCAGAAATAAATACACATTAAAACATCAGCAATTTTTTGTAACATAACATTGATGAGGCTTTATTTATCGCACACTTTTCCTTCACACCTCTCTCTCATCATTACATCAATCAGATCAATAATGGGATTCCAACTGACTTTGATAAGCTCCAAACCTAAATTTTTTTAAGTTAAAGACTACAACAATGATGGCCAAGACAACATAAATTCATTTCTACTACTACGTAATTCATTACATTTGTTACAGTTGCTAATTGTACCAATTATGTATAATTAACAGGATTATAATAACCGTTTCATGTTGAATCAAAAAAATTATATTTTTTGTTGTATTACAATAACGTTAATTTTGTTTAAAAGTGCTTCATTTTGAGAAACATGGGTTGTATAATTTCCCTCGTTTAGCAAACCTTATTCAATTCAGCCTTTCAAACACAAAAAAAAGTTTTGCACATTCATAATCAAAAGTCATACAATTTATAACTTGGGAGTTTGTAGTATTAATAATTCTATTGCTATTCAAGACTCATTTTTAACCCAGTAGTCATTATTACTTCATATATTCCCTACAGTTTAAACAACAGTTTAAATATTCAATATGTCGTACAGTTGAAACCCGTTATTACCTTAGTTTAAATTGTTATCCTGCTCTCAATTTGTCAGCATTTGCCATTTGTCGTCTTCCTGACTTTAAGTTTATACGCGTACAGTTGTTCTTATGTAGCTGACTAGATTATTCATAAAATGGTTTATTTATCCTTTATTATTACTGCTTAAAGTAAATCTCTGGAAATTCTGAAGTCGTTCATTCCTTGTAATATAGTTGGCTAACGTGGGATGATAAAATAATTCAATCCGAGCACTGATTGTAAATAAGATTGACTTGAAAAAATGCGACAAAATCACATGTCAAAGCTTTAGGTTTTCGTATGTAGTTAACCAGTAAAATTGCAATAGATTCACAAATCTATTATTCTTGTGACTTCACTTTAGTAGTTACATACAACACAAAGTTATGGATTTAAAATAGACTTACACTTTAAGTTATACATTAATATCAAAATATAATAAATAATTTCAAAATTCGCCACATCTCAAGAATTTCTTCTCTTTCATCTCTTAAAACTGGTCGTGTTTCCATTCGCCATTTCTTAAATGCAATTATAATAAATATTAGCCATTTTTCATAATGATTGCAAGATCCATGATCATGTAAGAATATAATGTATTACGACTAAAATTCTAATAAATAATTGATACCCCCGCTCTAATGTACATTGATAAATGCAGATTTCGGTACGACGCCATGCCTCCCATGAGAAGTCGATGAGATCGACTCTCAGAGTTGTGTGACAATTATATATATATTTATTTAGCTAACTACACTAGTTAAATATTACTTATGTTAAGTATTTTATAGTTAATATTAATTTAAAACAACACTACAGAGGGAATTATTACGTATGTAGTACACTAATTTACGAGTATGATGAAATACATACATGTAACTTTACCACGCACGTAATGATGATGATACGGATGATGAGTTACATGTGTATATACTTATTTAATTGCATACATGATGGTTGTAATGGTTCGCTGGAATAATAAAGGGTTATGTTCCTTACGATATACGTTAATAAGTAAGTAAATCAGAGTTAGTGATAAATATTTTTAGACTGTGAGCAAAGCTGCTTGAATTATGCTGGGTTTTGTTTTACGGCATTTTATTTTGGGCGAGATAATTTTTTCTTATAGATCCACACAAGCACTTTTTCCTAAGTTTGTCCATCCATTCGGAAATGCAAATGCCAAAACTACTATTTTGTAGCACCCCATCAGTGCCTCAGTGGTTATTACTTTCTCCAATGTTTCATGTTGATACTCGAATCCAGAATAATAAGAATAATAATTGTAATGAGGTGCTGTAGCCGTTCGGCAAGAATATATTATCCATTTCCAATAATAATAATTAGAATTATGGTGATACTAACAATATTGGTGGTATGGTAGTGCTTAATGAATGATGCTATATTACAGTAACCTTATGCTGTTTTGATAACAGCAGCAGTCGCGGTGAAACTGGATTTCTTACTTATCAGCATCAATTACATATTGTGAAGTTTCTTAATAGTATTTTGTGATTAGAATTTTTATCATTTTCTTCAAAAAAGTGCAAAACTAAGCCAAGCTTTGAAAATTCGGATGGTGTTTACAAAGTTATATTTCGCAGCAGATGAATCTTGTGTTGGGAGGTTATTTATTACATAAATATGTAAAATGCCCACTTATTTATCTTTTTTTATCCAGTAAAATGTGGAGGAGGGTAAGAACAGGTAAATAGAATTTCAATCGTTCATGATACTCCGTGTTATTTGTAAGGAAACGGAAATTGTGTAAATAAACAATTCATTTGGTTGCGGTACAAAAATAATGTTTAAAATATCATCGGGAATGAATTCATATGAAAATCGTGATTATTAATTTAATCAAAGAGTGCATGGTTTCAGTATTACATTAAAAACCTTTCTAGACTCTCAATCGTTTCTCACCATTCAACAAAGTATTATCTGCTATATTTACACCTTAGAGTTACAATAATTACTAATAGCATCCAATAAATAACTCTACTTTCAACAAGTTTCTGTACACAAATGATTTAAAACATTTTAATTTACATAGGAACGTTGCGTCAGCGTTGCTGGTTTGTGATTGATTGATCATAAATTGCAATATTCGACAAAATTAAAACTGTTGAAAACATCACAAGATCATTTATTCAGAGCTGTTAAGATTCTTGTGTGTTTTGCTTTCCTGTTGGGTGAGATCCTTCGCATAGAGAGAAAATTAAATGGTTATATCGATATAGCAGTTTTTGGTATTGATAATTTTCCTTTATATCAGTTTACGCAAATAAATATGTGCTACGTAAAGGGAACTATGTACTAATTATTCCTGAATATCCTTCTTGGTGCAGTAAAGTTTTGGTTGTGTGCAGTTAATTACATCAAGTAAATTGTTTACGATTTACTGAGTATAATGCATGAGATTCACTTTCTCCTCTAGTGAAGAATTCACTATGGCTTCACAATTTGATGACTATGATAGCTATTATTATTATGTACTGATAAACTGCCCCGTTATTTATGTAGTTAACTACTTATAAAACTGATTAGAGGTAAAGCCGTGTGTGAGTGTGTGGTTTTTTGCACAGGATAGGAATTATCATCAATTACGCTATTATGTAATAATTACCAACATTTTTAGTCGTAATTTCATTCAGAGGTGATACTGTATCTCGGGATGGGTATAGTCGGTACTATAAATATGCCAATGTTTTTGTAGATGATGTCAATCTCATTACGCTTCAGTTTCCTTCAAGTTGTCAAAGTACTCCATCAATTGGTCATAGTCCATGTCTAGCTTCACGCTGGAGTTGAGATTTTGTCGCGCACCCTTGTGTTTGTTGTGACCTTGTCTCGCAGCCAGGGCCGCAGCCACGGTGAGTCTTTCGATATCCCCGTCGTCATCAATCTCGGATTCTTCGTCAATGTAGGACATTGGGTTGCCCACAATGTTTGGAGGTCGGAGAGCAGCAGCAGCAGCACTAGCTTGCTCCCTTTCTCGTCTTTTTTGCTCTGGGAATTCGAGAAAGCATGGATTTGGGAGGTCATCGGATGGATTTGGGATGCCTCGGCCTTTGCTGCTACTACTCTTACCTACGTTGCTACTATGACTATTAGAACTAGACTTGTGGGATGAAGAGGACTTTGTACTTCCTCTTGTGGGTGGAGACTGTGACCCCGAATCGACATGAGTTCCCAGCGGGATATTTCTGTGGGGTGGGACTGGAGGTCTGTAGTCTGGATAAGAGTCGCCAGCACTACCGCTGCCATCACCACCAGAACCTTGTGGACTAGATGGACCTCCTCCCTTGTTACTCCCAGCAGAGCTTTGAGGTTGTTGTTTCATGGAGAATGTCGATGAATCAATAGAGTTGGAATTGGAGTGACCTGGCTTTGGTGGGCGTGGTGGTGGACCTGCAGCAGATCCTCCACCACCAGAGTTTCTCCCAAAGAGCCGAGATGACGAGCCGGGTGCAGATGAGACAGATTGTGGGGTCGATGGAGTCATGTTATCCGTCGCTTGTTGGCTGCTTCCGGGTTGTTGCATATTCTCAAAGTTGGGATTTGTAATGATGCGAATGGGGTTTGATGGAATGCCTCGATTTGAGGAGGTGCCCGTCGCAGTAGAGAATGCGGGATGTTTGTTGCTATCCAGGGAAGGATGCAGGGCGAGGGATGCTCTCCCCAACCACACCCAGTCGTGTGCATTCGTACATCCCCCACCACCTGGGGGAAGACGGCTGCCAGGAGCCATTCCAAAACCGGGGTGGGGGTGGTGGTGATCCATTTTGAAGCCCATGAGTTCCTCGGACGAGGAAATATCTCGTTTCTTAACTCGAGAGGCGTAGACGAAGCAGGACGCTACGAATACGAGGATTGCCACGGAGAAGACTCCGAGAAGGACATACATGGCAATTTCCAGTGGAGTATTGTGAGCAGCAAAGGTCCAACCTTTGTCTGGAATGAAGCCAACTGTAATTGGGCCAAAGTGTTGGGAGGACATGGAAGCTTTGGAGCTGTCGTCCTTTAAAGGAATCCCAATGTCATTGCTGTTATGTGATTGCTGCTGCTGGTGGAGCAGAGAACGGTGTGAGCTGTCCTTTTTCCTGTCTTTTCTCCCATTTTTTCTAAATGTGTGCTTCGAGGTTCCAATCATTCCTTGATTGGAATCATTCTGCGTGAACTCTGATCGGGAGGGTGTGGCCGTGAAATTCACTTCCACGGGTGCTACCGACATGGCAAGCGCAGCTGAGTTTTGGCGATGACATTGGTCACTCAATTCCAAGGATACTCTGCAAAAAAAGAGCGAAGGCGGATATCAGAGATCAGTCAATGAAACATCTCCAGTATACCAAACTACATACTTACGCACGTCACAAAACTACTTGGAGTGTTCAACTTAGAGAAATAAATAAACGTAACCTGTTAACTATCTTAAAGTATTCAAGCCATTTTAAAAATTCAGAAAATGTATTTCAACTTTTTTCCCGTGCCAAATCATAAAGCTATCATCATGGCATCTTATAATTTATACACGTCACCCTTCACTCAATCTCATCTCTGCTTCCCTGTGTTTATGACAAACTAAAACTGGGGAACTTTTCCCCATCCATCTTATTACATCCACTTTTATTCCTGCGTACTTTTCCATTTCCAAGTCAAATTAAAAAGGAAGTGAGAACGGAGAGTGCTAGTAAAACGAGTTTGCTACGGGATGAAAAAAATTGAGAAAAAGGAAATGACAAGAAAATTTCGTTCGTCTTTTCCTTCCACGGTTGAAGAAAAGAACACCAAAATAGTTTCCCTGTGTATCGAAACCATTTCGAGAAAACATACAAAACCTTGGCATTGATTTCACTGTTTTTTCCTAAACTTTCTGTACGTAAACGATTGACAGATTTATGGACACGAAACGTCTCCTCAGCATACATAACTTTTTTTTAGATAAAGACGGGAAAAGAACCCACCTCATTATGGGTCCACCACCCTCGGTCACAGCGATAATTCTGGGATACTTTGAGTTCTGAATGGGAGGTAACTCCACCACACTTGGCTCCAGACTGTCCACGGTCAGAACGTAATTTTCCTTCTCAATTTCGTCCAGCTTCACCCAGGTGTTGTCCGAAAATCGGAGTTTGATGTCCAGCAGGGCTTCCTGTGACAAAAATTATTACTTCAGAAGTTGCTCCAGTAGAATCACATGAAATTGTATATTTCGGATTTCAATGTCCAATTGTTGTTTGTCTATAAACATAGATGCGTGTGCTACCAACATTTCTTTCTATATTGTATTTTCTTCTTGATGCGTACGCTATGAGCTATTTTATTGAGACAGCTCCCTTGAGGAGGAGGGATGAAAACAATTAAATGGAGCATATCTAAATAACATCGTTCCTATATATCCACTAATGACAAGGAGAGAAAGTGTATCTAGGGGTAATTTAAGGTAAGACAATTTCTCCCCTACCAATCAATTACATTGCATTGGCAGGGAATCAACCCTGAAAGAAATTATGGAGAAAGCGGACATTGATTTGATTATCTTTTTTCCCTTCCTGAAATACGTTTTTGTGCCCATACTGCTGAGTAGTGAGTTGCTGAAGGAACGTCTACTACCTAATATCATCCCTATCAAGAAAACCGACCACCAAGGTTTCATTTATTTTTAGATGGCTGGACTTGTTGTTTCATCCGTTTTTTTTCTCCTTCTCCATCTAACAGTTACACTCTCAATAATTTTTTGATGATATTGTTACCGGCGGAGGTACTATGCAACTCTACCGCTCAGGTAATAATTTATCACCGAAGGGTAACATATATACAGAGGCTAAATCCTGCACTGCCCCAATGTCAACGCTCAGGTAATAAAAATATTACCGATACCGGAGGCAATTTCTTACCCACAGAAGACAATTTGTTACTATATTGTTACCACGCGGTAGAATTGCATAGTGTCTCCGACGGTGACAATATTGTCAAAAAATTATTGAGAGTGTAGGTAATCGAGGGTAGAAATTGATTATTGATTCCTGTCTTCCTCACTTTTATTCCTCTACAACCAAAAGCAACCTTTCTCCTTCTTTACATTTCCTTCCCCCTCCGTCGTCGCAGTAGCTCAACCCAAGTTAAGTAGGTAGAAGTGTGTTTATCTTCCCAATTTGTGTCCATCCAGACTGCTCTCCTGGCCAAGAAACATTATCTCAACCCATGCCGCACTACACGCACCTGATACTTTGCAGACAACTTGGAAGACATGGTCGTCTCGGCCACAAACTGGTTATCAGAGTCTGTATCGGGGAAGAGCGAGAGCTGAACGCCTGAGATGACTTGAACCTTCATCGAAGCGATGGACACTCGTTCATTTAAAACTCGAATTTCCTTAGTTCCCAAGACGCGACCGGTGACGGGGGACACGATCTGAAATACGCAAAGAGCATCATTTTAGCATTGTAGTACTCGCAAAGTTGTGAAACGTAGACAAATATTCACATCATCCATAAAATGTACCAAGTGGATTACAAAAAAACACACGCGAGAGCTCGAGAAGAGTTTATATAAATGAAAGCCAGGAAAGGACATTGAAGGAAGAAAAGAGATAAACCAAAGTGGAAGTTAATCCACGTGTGTCGATCACTTTCGCTCCTCAGCAAAAAATAGGAACCAACGAACCAAATCTAGCTGACTGAATAGGGAATCAAGTCAAGCCAACAAAATTGAAACTGTATTTGTATTTGTGGCTTCTTTCCCTATACGGTCAAATAAACGAAATGATCAAAAAAGGGATATTTGCACATGTTGGAGAGAAATCTCGAGGGATTGGGTCTCTTGTGGGTGGCGATAGATAGATGATATTGGTTCTGGGAAAGTGCACGAATTTTGTTGGGTTCACTTTTACATTAATCCTTCCCAATTTCAATTTTGCATGCATCAAGTTAGCCAGTGGTGAACAAATATACCGGAATTTGATTGCAAGCCAACAACGACAAGGGGTAATAATTATTTTTCATGATATCGAATTAGCTCGTTTCCTATTGAGCCATGGATCCACCCTCCCCTTTTTTGTCCGGTATATTTTATGAAGAAGCTGCCTTTTTCTGCCTACCAACAAACATCCCAGTTGCAACAAGGCAAACAAAATCAAAATGAGTAGAACCTCATCCTTCTCGACTCTCTCTTTCCACTTGGAGAAAGTTAGAGAAGATTCAATTGATCCACATTCTCCTCCTCCTTATGCAATGTTTGTTGGTGGAAGCAAAATTCATCTCCTTTCACCAACTCCTTCCTCCCAGCTGTCACTCACGACTTTCACTCTTTCTCTCTCTCAAGCAGATTAACCTTCCAAATCTCAACTTCAACCCTTGTCCTCACGACTGCTACCTACCCACGATATGCGGAAGGAAAACCCAACCCACCAACCAACCAAGCAACCAACTCATAGACGAATAAAAAGTATTACTCTTCTACACTACAAATGATTGACTCGTGAGTAGTGTCTGCACTTGAGGAAGTAGAATTAAGCAGAAAACTTGAAATGAAACTTGGATAATACTCTTTCAACGAGAAATGGAGTATACGAGTTTAAAGTAGGCTTAAATTCGGATTTATTTGCTAGAACGAGATTCATGAGGAGAAAAAAAATCAACATAACAGAACAAGGATTTGTCAAACCAAAGGAATTATTCTCGCCGAAATGAACCCACAAGAAAAATATAAATGTGGGAAGGAAAAACGTATTTCTTGGTCGTATCCACTCCATCCGTTCTTCAACTTCTTTTTTATTCCTTCTTTATTTAAAAGCAGAAACAGATATAAATCAGTCGTGCTCACTGAAAAATATTTCCAAGCCCACAGCTCCCAATTATTTTTGTGTCACAGAAACCAAGTAGTACTTCTAATACACATATACGTACTACATTTTGGAAATTGTAGAGATAAAACAAAAAGTTAAGTTGGTGGTGATCTCACATAAGAAAAGTGGCTGTCCTGCTTCCTATTCTAATTGTAAAAACTTTCCCCGGTGAGGAAAATCTGGATCGTAAATTTCAATTATATTGGGGCCACCACCAAACCACCGCCACACGACGACACACATTCTACATCATCCACCATCTCAGAAGGAGATCTCACCTGGATGTGTGATGCGGCTCCTAAATCTGGTTGTCGCCAAGGCTTATGGAGGATTACGTTTCCGTGTTCCATTTACATGAGAGACGAAAAAGTAGGAGCAAGCGGGTTCTCTTTAGCTCTAAAATTTCCTAAATAACTCGAGTGAAAAGTTGCGAACAAAATTGTACGTCTTCGTTCATATTAAAAAATAAATGAGCTTCTTACTTATAAATTATTAAGGTTTCAGTTTACGCAACATAAGTAGACATGTTTCTTAAAGGCAATAAACAGTTGAATATATATATATATCTGTACAAGTGAGTGACCATGTCATGAATGGAAGCCTGCTTTATTTTCTGATATATGCTTTATGCAATCTTGTATTTGATTAGTTATAGAAAATCAATTTACTAGTTTAACCATTCATTGCCTTAATAAATATTCATTCCTAAGAGCCGAATTATCCACTTACTGCGATACCAGTAATTTGGAGAACAAACCATGAAACGTACAATCCACGTGTTTATTCCTAAACTCTGTAGTTCGCCAACACATTTACAAACTTTATTAATGTATAGCAAACTATTCGCAAGTCGTATGAACAATAACTATGCCAGGTCACTTAATTAGCTCGTTTTCTTCACCATGAAATAAAGCAACACAACATTTTCTCACACACACACGCACACACACAAGCAAAGTCGGTGCTGTAAATTGTTGACGCAAATGAAAATAAGTAGCCAGCACCCAACTTTTTATGCGAAAAGCGAGAGTCTGCCTTGCTTCCCGTGCTTACGACATCATTTTTCCTCTTTGGTTCTTTAACTTTGCGAAACCTCCCGTCCAAACCAAAGGCAAATTACCAAGTGAAATGTATCCTCGCAAAGTATAAGTTTTTTTTGGCTTGTGAGCTAGATGGCCTGGTTGATAAGACTAAAAACCGATGCCTACTTCTACTTAATAGCCCCTGATTGAAACAAAACGCGCAATTAGAGTCTGGAAAAGAAACGTCAAATATGCCAAAAAATGAATTGCCAACCCAGTTATCCCAAACTCTCCTAATGCAATGGAACAACTGCTTCGAAGAGAATGGTTAGGATCGTTGAAGCTAAAGTTGAAATGTTAAGGAAAATGAAAGGTTGATTAAATTTTATTTCCTTCCTGCCCTTATCGCAGAACTCTGTAAATACACCCAGAGAAAAAAAAAATAATACGTGCCTGGTATGGATTCACTGATTACAATGCCAAGTTCCAGAAACAATTTCGTAAATATATACGTCCATGAATTATAATTCATGGCCAATACTTTTTTACAAGTTTGGAAAATTGGACGGATAACAACGCTGCTAAAAATTTAGCTACAATAATACTTTTCTGCAGCTGGGCGGCTATGTATAATAACAGAAATGGATACAGTATAATAATTTGGGAACTATGAAAACAATGCAGTCAATAATCAGAATCTCTGCGCTATGCAATTTGATATGAATTGCTAATTTGAAAGTTTCTTTGTTCTTTCTTTTCGAGGAAGGAAGAGGAATAATCAATTGAAAATTTCGTCCATTCAGGGAAAGTGTAATCATTGACTTTTCGCCGTCCTTCAAGAAACAAAAGGGAGGAGAAGAAAGCATCAACAGGAATGCAAATCACTTTCTTTTCCTTTGGTAGTGGTTCTGCAGATTTTCACAGAAAGGAAAGCTTAGCATTCAGAACACAGTAATAATAACTGATGAATTATCGAGTTGCATGTTTTCCTTGGTTAACAAGAGAGAAAGAATAAAAGTAAAAATTCCTGGCCTCACTTTCTCTCTTCGTGTTCTTTGTTTTACTCACGCATTTCTTCCAGAAAAGTATGGTAGTGATTATGCTCAAGTGTTTCTGGAGGAATTTGAACGCACGTTTGAAAATAATCTTTACCCAAATCACAGGAACGGATATGCCATTCTTCTTTCTAGAAACTCAAAGAGAGTGAAAGTGAAAGAAGAGAAAGAAAGTGAAGGAAAATAAATGAAAACACTTTCGCCGAAAATAATGGAAATATGTATACACACAAAGTCTGCACCTGCCTATGTTCTCTAGCTCGGGATCAGAGAGAGAGAGAGATGAAAGCACCAAAAAGATACCACCCAGGGAAATTTTAGATCGATTTAAGTCGTCCTTTAGTTGAATTTGAAGTCAAATCAGCGCATTTGCATTTTGTTTTGTTTAATGTTTTTATACTGCGATAACGAGCTTATATTTAGAAATTTTGAACAAAAACAACCAATCTCTGTGGCCACACACAAGGCTCCAATTTATGGTCTGCTCCGTGGCCTAATTATTTTCGCAGTGTGGGATAGAAATGAATGACATATTGTATAAATAATATCAACTCGTTTATTGTAGAATTGAACATTATATGGTTGACTACACGCAGTCAGACCGATCTCCAGCAGAGAGTTGGTTTATGCCATCAATTCCTTGCTCCATGTTGCAAGTGACATATTTGATGTGGAAGGAAATTGGAAATATTAACTCTATTTGATTATAATGAGATTTCACTGGGCAGAGAATTTGCCCAGAGGAGGTGAAAGTGAAGTAAAAAGCAATAAGGCCCGAATTTCCTCTGGGCCACAGCGACGACGGGTGGCATGTCGTGTGTAAGTGTGGCTAGGAAAAAATGTTACACTTTCCTACTCACATTGTGAATCTTTAAAAGTCAGACGGTGAATATATGCGATAATATTCTTTGAGATTTCCAAATTGTTTTTTTATTACGTAAAATAGTCAAGAAGTTTGATGTCAAATAATATGCATAAAAGAATTAACGGGAGAAGGTTTCCCATCCAACGTCCAAAGTTGATAAGGTCTTCAACTGTTTAGCTCTTTAGTAGAGTTCCAGCGTTAATGGGGTTCTATTGGAGAGAAAACAGGCAAATTGGAAAACAGAGACATTAAATGGGGTAAAAGGGTGGGTGCGAAATGGCGACATCTTTTCCATCTAAATTGCTAACTCAGCTCGAGTGGAAGTAAATACGGAACTTGTCAGATCGCCACTTTGATATCGTGTTGACCAAAGAATAGGCCATTCAACATTTCAACAAACAACTTTATCCATTATGTCACTTTCCTCATTAAAGTTAAAAGTTGGAAATGTGGTGCAGAACACATTCTCTCCTTCCGCGTACTTGATTTATTACTAGCACACTTGTTTATTCATACATATGTATGAATTCATGTTGTACCCCAATTACGCGTCACGTGTGTGTGTTGTTTTCGCAAACGCGTCCAACCATTATTTGTACACATGCACTTTACAGTAAAACAAGACACTGATGCTGACGTTATGAAACGATAATGATGGCATTGCTAAACAGTGGATTGAGTAGCAGCTCATATTGATCCAGCTCTTATTTATCATGAGAATGAAGAAAGGAAGAGAAAGTGAAAACTACAGAGTCAGGTTAATTCAGTTCAGCTCAAGTAGAATCGCGTTGATGGAGTGAAAAGTTACTTTTTATTTTGAAGAGACGAAACTTGATCTTCCAAAAACTTGGTAATAATTAAACAGGAAAGTTTTTTCAAGTGCATTCGTGCCTATAACTTCTTCTCCTATCATCTCTCTTCGCACCATTATCCAATCCATCCGCACACCTGTCATCCATCCAAGACCATTTTGTTTCCCCGTAAACTTGGCATTAACAAAACTATCTTTTCTTTCTCCCATCCATTGAAATCTGAGCAACTGCTGCATAGGACTCGTGACATATATCCATAAGGAAAATGATTAATTAAAACGGTTGACTCCTTGGCTTTTTCGTTTCCTCACGTCGCATAAATTATTTTTATGAGACGCAATCTCTTATCCCTAACTACTTCCTCAAGTATGTTCCACGTCAGCGGGATTCCAAGTTTTTTTCATGTCCCCCAAAAGTATCGTTCCGCTCCAACTTTCTTTAAAAATGCATTTGAAGAGTGGTCAGAAGAAAGTGGTTCAACCAGGCTCACATCGACGTCGGCATCATGTCTGCTTATGACTGAGTAAAGGAAACGCCAATTCTCTCTCTTTTTCTTTGCATCTCCAGAGACGGTGGACAATCCCCGAAAGAAATTCGCATCATTGAGTCGGCAAGAAATGAATAATTCAGTTAGAAATCGAAGAGAAAACTTGTGGAATTAGTGGGAAGTGGAGAACGTGAGAATTTTTATTCCGAAGCAGTTGCGCCAGCTTTCCTCCTTTTTATGCTGCAATGAAATGGAACGAAATTCATTATGAAGGTTGGTTATACAACGGCTCCTGCTGCTACGAATCACGACGAGAGAAATGAACAGATAAAACCACAATGGCGTCGTTGCGTGTCGTGCCGCCATGCATGGAGAGCCGGGTTGGTGTTGATGCTGCTCAGAATTTTAAAAATAATTCCTTTCTTCCAGCTTTTCCAACATTTGCCACATATGTCACAACCAAACCAAAGGGGCAACGTTCTGTACTCTCTTGGGTCAATATTCGTTAAAGTGATGCCTTGCCGTACATACATTTTCTCGTTTGGAAGAAAACTAGGTTGGGGAAAGAAGAAAGAGCAAAGTTGAGCAAAGTTAGTTGCCTAATTCTGAGTCATTGTTGACCCAAAAAATAATGTTATGCAATCGTAAATACTGTACAATAAAGTCGTCGTTCTTGGCAAGCAAGCTTAATCAGAGGAACGTGATCTTTGACTTAACATGCTCATTAACCAACAAGTCGAGCGAGGAGCACATTTAGCTTTTTATGCAATTCGGGCTATATGCAGATATATGTACAATGTGTGTCGTACTTATTTCGTTCCAAAAGAGCTAGATGCGGAAATGGGCTGTAGAGATTTGGCCGAAATTAAAATAATATCCTCCTTACTACTAAACGATGCAAATGTGGAGGCATTAAAAATTACAAAGTCTTCCTGCTGATAAAATGACCCTTCTTCCTAATTGCCACGAGAAATAAACTGTTCCATTTTACGTAAGTACATGATAAACCTCTCCGTTTGCTGGTCTTTATCTTTGCGGAGAAGAATATTTGAATCCGCTTTGTTGCCCACTCACACCTCAAGCTTGTGCAGAATGGGGAAACCAATATGCAAGTGTAAACGTGAGGTATAATTTATCTATTCTACATGGAAAAGTGACCAAACAGCGGACGAAGGAAAAGTCGACACATCCACATAATCCGTATAAGGACAAGGATTTATTGTCAACTTCACACTTAAACTGCTAATCCTTTACTGCCCCCATTATTTCTGCAGCGTCGTGGTATATGGTGCCTTCGCCTCTTCTCTCTTAATCTCGAGCTCGTTTGGGCGGGGGAGGTGGTAAATCGTTGTTTGTTTGTTGTTGTGGATTGCGGTGAATTATGTAGTTGACGCATATTATGCATTACGACAATAAGATAAGGTGTACACATAGAGAGAGAGAGGAAGAGATAACAAACCTGGATCTCAGTCCTGCCTGGTCCCACCCCTTGAATCGAGGAGGAGGAAGGTCCCTTGATGACAGCAACTTGGGTGTCCGACGCTCTCAAATAATCCGACACGAGGTCTGTGATCTTGAGATAGGTTTTCCTCGAAATAAAGTAGGAAGTCCGACCAGAATCTTGGTCCTGGGCCAAGAATCGACCATACACCTGCGGAACAAAAAGAGAGCAAACGCACGATTCAGTCAAAGCTAAACAAATATTTTTTATGACTTCACTTTAATTGAAGAATTAACACATACTCGTCACATAATATATTTGATTTCATCAGGAATAAATTGGGATTGTTATCGTGTCAATTAAATCAGGACAAGTGCATCACTAGAAGACGAGGATAATTTTGAGCACCACGAGCACAGGGAGAGATAATTGGACGTAGGGAAGGGGTTTTATACTTTGTGAAATTGTTACGATTATTCAAATTGATGTGAATGAACTCAGCATAGCACACACTTCTCTTATATGTGATTCATTTTAGTATCACATTGAATTGACCACTCAACAATAAAACGAAATCGCTCCTAAAACTACTGCTCTCAACTCGATATAATGTACACGGGACGTCGGCAGCAGTTGGGAAGAGCTGCGTGGTTGGTTTTGTGAATTTTGGAAATACCAAAATGTTTCACGCTGTTATAGTTCCGCACGAAAGTGAAAGGAACCCACACCATCCGTATACTTTCACTTACTGCCGCGCTCCCTCCATAATAAAATGAAACGTAAAACTTTGGCAGGTCCATATTAAAAATCTTGCCGGGTGGGTTAATACGAAAGGAGAGGAGTCATATAGCTGCTGTTCTGATCAAGAGTTTATATTCTCTGCTGCTGCTACTGCTGCAACAACCGCATCGCAAAAGGAGAGAAAGTTTTGGAAATTAACTGTTTCCAAATTTTGAACTGTTTCGCTCGGGACAAAGTTTTACTGTTTCATTATAAAGTTGCCGTCTGACGATAATGACAATATTAGAAACTTTTTTAAAATCATTGTGAAACAATGTTCTCCCAAATGGTTATCCACTTTAAGTATTGGATAGACTATTTTTTATTGATACGACATTAACTGGCTGGTTGGTTGGTGGTTGGTTGGTACGATAGACTTGATTCATGGCTTTCATTTTATATTCAAAATTCAAAACATAGAGAAGGCTCAAATTGCTCCTCCTTAATGTTCTTGTTTCTCTTCCAATCCGACGCAGTATTGGAAATCTTGGAAATTATACGAGAGCTCGGCTCCCGTTTTTGCTTGATATTCCCAGAGCGTGGAACCACCCGTTCCACTTTGCCACCACCACCACCACCACCACCACCAGTAAATGCCCCTGCTTCTCCTGTTCCTCCTGTTCCGCATTCCTTAACTCACAGACTCAGATTAGATATGCAGAACGGGGGGATGTGTTTGCAATGGTAATAAGGGTTCCACTTTACGTATGCCTTTATTCATTCTGGTGGTGAAGAAAGTTGTGTATGAATTAACAAGGAGGAATTTGTGCAGTTTTTTTCTCCTTTTCTCATCCATCCATAAATGGGGAGACACTAAACTAAAACATTAAACATGTTAAGGGCCGTCGGGGTGGTTCGTAGCGTATCGTACAACCAGAAAGAACACTGGTACGTAATTTTTCCCCAAAAAGACATCTACTCTTGATGCGTTTGAGTGAATGTTTGTGCACTGAGGATCATTTAATTTTCATGGCGAGACATGTCATATTTGTAACGATATCAAACTATTTTTAGTGATGCGTATACCGTTTTAATGTGGCAGCTACATAAACACAAACATCGTCTCAACTTTTCAGGGTGGATGAGATGTGGTATGTACAATGGTACAATGTGCATGGACTGACTGGTTGTTTCAGGCATAAACTTTCTCAAATGGAATATTTTAGGGGAAAATACGCATTTCCCTCAACGCTACGTATGCACATTCATGGAAGGGACTGTTTTCTTGTGTATGAAGGAAACATTTTTGGGAGTGGCAGTGGCACACCTACATAAGGAGAGAAATAAGAGTCCATAGAGAGGTTCATAGTTCATTGGTAAGAGCAAAGAGAAAGGGAGAGAAAGTCGCTTCTTCCATCATCATACTTTCTCCTTTCGTATGCATGCGGATATTGCTCACGAGGGAGAAAGTAGTGTGCTTCGTGAAGGAGGATGTTTGGTTGCATGATGGCAGCGACGGCATGCATGCAAGTTTAAGTAAACTCGGCTCAGAAGTAGATGACAATTCCTTCAGGAGGAAATAAAAGGGGAAAAAAAGTAAAAAGGAAATACTAATGGTGGAAACACCGCAACTCTTACGACCAGTTCTACACAGTCGTCTCGTAACGAGCCCGACGAAACAGGAGTGGGCATGTTGTACTCCCACTACCAAAATCCATCGAATGTAATGTTTCCCACATGAGAATATGCATGACTATGCAAAGCCTGGCAAAAGGATTTCCAAATTTTTAAAAACCACCTCAATTTTCGAGGCAAACGTACACATGCCGTGCATGTTGTTTTGACAAGTTGGGCAATTATTAGTTAAACGCTTAAGGGCAGAACTTTCTCCATTTGAACTTCTGTCAACATGCACGAGGCTGAGGGAAAGATAACAGCAGAGAACACAATGTTCTCGGTTGTTGTTGTTGGTGGTGTGATACGGACACAAGGGGACAAAGGGGCTGGAGAAGAAGAGATAAAACACGAAACAAACCACGTGTTTGCATTAAACAGGTAAAATACATACATAAACGAATGAACAAACTCGCACTTCAATTTAATGCTGACATTTCTCATTTCTGAGTAATTTCCCTGAAATCTAGGACACGAAAGGACGGGCGAGTGATGTTTTCCTCTTTTCGAGAATGTCCATTTGAAAAGTTTGGGAAAATACATACATAAGCAAATCAAATAACTCACGGCTGCAATAGTTCCCTCAGGTTTTGTGTAATTCATATGTTAATCCATATTGTTTGGCCTGATTTACTACGTACAAGTGCGCAGCGGTGGGTGAGACGTGTGATATCGGAAATTTCATGGGAACTCCGTAATTTCTCAGCTTCAAAAATAATATCGTTGGGGACGTGGAGAGAAAGTGGGAGCGAGGATATATTACCCCGACACGTTATGTCAACGCTCAATTTCATTTCATGAGTATCTTCTAGCCACTGTATCCTTATTCATTGTCTGCACTGTGGTCAAGTGAGGCGTGGTGCCAGTAAACGTGAAATTGGACGTGTGTGCCATGTCGTGAGGGACAATCGGCTATGATCACGGCTATCACCTCGAACTCGTCTACCTACCAAAAAGCACTACATTGTCCATGCTATCACTCACTACATACGTAGTACACATGTACATACATAGCACTCGTACTTATTGCCTTTCTCTCTGTACAAACGACTTTTCCCTGTCTCTCGATCCATGGTTTTCGAGATAAAGAATGAAAAATTGATGAGCAAATGGGAAGACGGTCAATAAAACATGAGACGAGTTTGTGTTTGCTTGTACATACAAACCACGCCACGCTCTCCTACGGTATGTGAGAATGATGGCAATTATAAAGTGGCAGATTTTTGCCACCATTTCCGGGTCAGGGTAAATTAGCAATCTGTTTAATTTAGGAGGTTGTGGAAGCAAATATATGTAAGTACTACTCACGTCCACCCGAGTATGTTGATATCTGGGTCGGCAGTGAAACTTGTCCTCCAATTCCGAGTCCTCCTCCTCATCGTCTCCATCTCTGTCGACGAGTAGTTCTTCATGATTGGAGTTGAACGTGGTAAATTCTCCAGCAGCGCCATTATGATTCTCGTCCACCAGTTCCGAGTCATGATGATCATCCCAAGGATCATCCAAATCTTCTTCACCATCCCCGACGGTGGGTCCGTAATAGCTATTGACATCGGTAGCCAACGTGCCAATGTTTTTGTTTGAAGACGTTGGTAAGCTCGCCTCCATAACGGGCTGTGGTTGATCGGCCTGCATCTCTATCGTTTTTGTGTAAGACGAGACTTCTCGTTTCCCTTGGGTCCTGTACAACATAAAATACAGCATTTTCCTTCAGTATCGATTCACAAGTTGAACAGATGTGGCCAGGTCAACCGGCTAAAAGGCAAGAACAAAGAATAAGCACCACCGAATCATGGTTCGCCTTGTCAAGCCGTTTTATTTTAACAATGTTACGTCATTTGCCGCAGATGAAGACGTTATCGTGACGACGTGTGATGCGGCGAAATGGTGGCGGCGTTGTCGTACATAAAACCATTCATACTTTCCTGCACTCTCGACCCTACATACCTGCCTGTTCAACATTGTGTCGAAATTGTTCTCGGCAGTTTGCACGTAGCTACAATTTCACGATCGGAATAGGAGACCCTAGCTTTATGTGAATAGGTAGCTATTTATACGCGACTGCCGCCACCGAGTCGACTACCAGTAAGAGCCAACTACATATTGTCTGTTACTACAAATGTCGAAATAATATAAATAAATCAAGAAATAATAACTATCCCTTCTCAACATTTGTCGACTCTAACAAATGGCCGAAATAAAGCAAAATAAACGCTAACCACCAAAAATTCCTTCATTCCGTTACACGTGTCATTTCATATTCATTTCAAATTCATTGGATGGAGGGTGTCACACTGGCAAATCAGATTTCTAAAATCTAACCCAAACCATGCCAGGTTGAAATAAACAATGTTGGTTGGTTTGATAGTGCAGGAATAAAGCAACAGCTCTCTCTCACACACATGAATCACGAAACTCAATTAGTTGATTGTGACTGACTTCTCGTTGGGCTGACGTGACATTCCAAACCACTCTACAATTCCCATCTCCTCTTTCTATCTGTCCTCCTCATTTCGCGTGATGGTGTTCAGACCAAAAGCTAAAGTGAACAAGGATGCTTTCACTCACTCAAATGTTTGTTTTGCTCAAAATTAGTTGGGAATCCACGTCGAATTAACTTTGAGGAAGCTCTCACTTTAGAACTACTACGCCAAGACTGCGATCTTTCTCCTTCCTCCTCTCATTATCACATACCAACATACCTCAGTCTGCCCCAGAGAGAGCCAGGAATGACTTTCCTCTCCAACTTGGAGCAGAACCTGATGCTCTCAATTTTTATTTATTTTATTTTATATCCTCAACTCATCGTGAAGGGCATCTGGTCAAGTAGTCGTCGTCGCAGTGGTAAAGATGACGAAGGAGAAAGGCGAAATTCGTCTCGTGAATCCACAATCATCTCACTATTTCACCCCTCATACATAACGGCACGTCATGTGAATGTCACTCTCCTTCCTCTTCTCTCGTCTCGCGGATGCTGCTGACTTTTCCTGATGCTCTGACGACCCCAAAGAATTTTTAGGAGAAAGGAAGAAGTGAAGTGAAGCCGAGTGAAGGAAGGCGAAGGAGAAAGCGAAAAGGTCGTTGCTGAGAAAACGTGGTGGAATTATAGCCACTCGACTCTCAACTCGACGAAGCACAACCCGCAGTTCAACTCACGTTTGTTTTTAGGATGGATGTGCAGCTGTCAAATGGACTTTCTCTATTTTCCTCAATCGAAGAATGGGTTCATGTGGAGTACTGCACCCTGCCAATCGTGCCAACAGTACTTAAAGATAAGGGGCTAAAATTACTGAAAAATCAATAGCTTGGTGGAATCAGAAGAGGAGGAAGAAGTAGAAAATCAAAAACTTTCCAATTTGCACTCATCTCGCCAGTCGCACCATTATTTATCGGGGAGAAAGTAAACTCATTTTGCTGCCGTGTAGCACAGAGCAGCAGCAGCAGCAGGACGAGGGAGACGAAGAAAAGTGGTTGTTTTAACTGAGACATGGAGACGTTTTGTCAGAGCGAAGGAAGCCAACAAAACTGCAAATTTCTACAGACGCTGGGGCATTACTTTCCTCAATTTTAAATTCACGACAGACTTTTGGACTCTTTTTCTTTCAACGGGGTCCACTCCACTTTGTATGGATGAGGCGAGACGGGGAGCTTTCTCTTTTGATTTGCTTACGTTTTTTTCCTTCTACAACACTGTCTCTCGTTTTTCGCAGTCTCTCTTTGGTCAAAATCACTGCTTAGTTCCCTGTAATCTACAACCACCACGAAGGGATTATATACCTACCCATTCTCAATTCCCCACTGATGCTCCTACTGCTGCTGCTGCTCAATCGTTTCTACAGGGATATGTATGGCAAAATAACTGGCAGGGAAGTATGATAACAAACATCAGGATAACGGTTAATGTCCTATCTGGCTGTTTGAAGAAGAGTTATATACAAATTAAAACCTTGCTTCTTCTGTTTCCGCTAAATTTTCATATATTGTGCAAATTCCAGCAGAAATCTCAACATTAATCAAGTCAGGTTTTGTAAAACTAGGAGAAGTAGACCTATCCGTCTCTCTTTGTTTGTGAATACATGAACGACTTCAAAGATCCAATCAGACTCGCCTCCACGTACGTATTTACGAGTAGCGTCTAGCATACAGCAGTATACGGCATAAAATAGTGTTGGTCTTAGTGTTACTAAGAGCCATCATCCCTGATACAAATTGTGTGCTCGAATAAAGAAAAGCGAAACAAACTTACTCTCGAACTCCATTAGGAACACGCCATCCTTTGATCTGGTTCAGCTTTGAGTCTGTAAGTTGAACGTCGAGTGGAAATTCTGGCATCCACACTGTGAATTGGGCTGAACCTTCGTACGTTCCGTACTTGATGGCAATTGTGGCATTTGTGGAACCACGGATTTCGGAACCATCAACGTAAACCGAGGTACAGGATGAAGATACCTGCAAGCAAGCAAGTGCGTGATAATTGCTTAATTCGTCCCACTCTCATAAGAAGACTCTTCCTTTTTAATAAGCATAATGGCTTTTACCTTCAGCACACTCTCGTCCAAGGATCGACAGGATGCTTGAAGAGTGACATCAGCCACTTGACCGGCACGACTCACGATGAATATTTTCATGGGGCGAGAAACCTGCTTTCCATTGAGGACCGCCGAGTTGACAACTTCCCAGCTCTGTAAATTAGGAGAGAAAGAGGCACTGAATTAGTAAAAAGTGCTAACGAATGCGTCCTACATTACAGAAATTACTAAAGTTAGTAAAAAGTAGGGAGTAGGACCTTTGCAATAGGAAGAACGGCTTGAATATCGTCCTTCTGAATTTCCAGGCGAGTGGTGAGCTTATGCCGCTCATCACTAAAATTGGCGAAGGGATCTTTTTTCATCCAACTGGTGTCGGCACTGGGTTGGATCACGTATCGAAGAATCCATACCACACGACCTCCATCCCAGTCATCGCCGGCCTCTTCCGCCGCTTCCAGAATCCAATTAAACACTTCTTCGCCGTTGCTGCTCCCATCACTACAGGAAAAAGCACACACGAAGAAAGGACCAATTAGGCTAACCAAACCAATTAATCAAAATCCAGCATCATGACAAGTCCTATCGCTCTTTCTCAGCAAGCCCAAAAATGGATCAAATCATGAAAGGATTGGCTGGTTAGTTACACTATGTTGCGCCGACATCTTCACAAATGATCAATTTATTCTACTCCTACAGTTGGCCTGGGAAAAGTTTATTTAATTAAGAATTGACTGATAATTGGCGTCATGTTTAGGTGGAGGATTATCACCCCAAACTAAACCCTTTAGTTTATTCGACAAAAGGGGAAATTCGTCATCTCCACGAAAGCAGGTTCCCAATGTTCCTTCGTCGTATGTTATGCATAGTAATTCATTCTTCGCATTGTTTGGCGAGATTGTTCCTCTAAAATATGTAATAAAGCCACTTCCTCTTCATATTGGTCGGTTGGTTGGGCTGAGCTGCATGCCCGGCCGTCGCGAAGGAGTAAGTAAAATGATAAGTGGTCGTACGTTGCATGCAAAGTAGGCCCTTTTCACATATCCTAACATGGAAATGAGATTGCCAACTGTATAAATCTGGTAAAAATGAGAATAACTCTTGGGACAATTGAGCTCGTCTGTGAGTCTGATAAAAATATTAGACGGCATGCATGCGGGGCATTTATTCAAATTCATAAAAATAACAACGGTTTGTCGGTAACAAAAACAAAACAATTTTTTCTCGCTTATTTAATAAAATACGTCCTGTCTTGTCTCAATTAGATTTTGGATTCCCTAACGTGACCAGAAATCTTTGGTGTTTGAAGAAAACTCAGGCCAAATTATGGTTAGATAAACTTAGCCTAAAATTAGTTGTTTGTTACGTATGTGAAGAAATCTGCAAATTTCATCATGATTTCCCAATGGAAATTTACAAAAACATTTGCACCAACCGAACCGTCAAAATAAATTGAAAAATATACAAAATAGGATTGAAAAGGGTTCAATTATTGCAAATGCGTACCTCTTGTGATGCTGCATCATTTTGGGGTCATACTTTCTCACAGCGGTGATTGTGGCGTGTGTCCTCCTTGGGTTGAAGTCTGTAGTAATGTTCCAACTCTTATCAACATTCGGCTCGATTCCAATGATGCGCAAACCACTCTTGACTCGTGCCCTGTAATAATACGTAATTACAACCATGAATTAGTGCCAATTTATGCATTACAAAGACTTTGGCTCTAGTTTTTCCTTCATTTATCAAAATTGGTCACTTAAGATCAACCAAATTTATTTCGCCACATGCTAATTCCATTTTTGGAGACTTTTAGCCTCCACTAAATCAATGAGGGCGTTAATCCACCAGTAATCATTGTAATCAAAGCCACCATTCAAATTAGTGCGTGGGCGGAACCTGCCAATTTAACAAGCTTAAAGTTACAAAATACGTATGTATTTATTGCAACCACCAACTCAGTTCCTGTATCCAATAACATCCACATCAATTTTCGCTCAAAAAGGTAATTTGCTCAAGTGAAGAAGGGCCTAAAGATGGTGTAAAATTGCTACAAATTGAATCAGAGATAAAAAAATGAGTTGTATTTCAACATGAATCTAAGCCAGCTTTCATCTAGGAAGTAGAAATTGTGAGAATTATTAGACTGGACATGCTTCTCTTTCCCCAAAACAGTTTTGAGTGTTTTGAGCACTTGAGGTGTGGAAGGAACGACGACGAGCAAACCTTTCGAGGAAGAAGAAAGGGGAAGCGAAATGTGGAAACCCAAAAATGAAAAGTAATCTTTCGGAGCAATCGCATTAGCAACGGCACTTACGCTTACGATTTGAGGAAGGAGGGAGGACAAGTGCTTCCAGGTCAAGTTTTCCCTACCAATATCTCCGTGCTGTGGCAGTGTGGTTGGTCCTGATGGTTTTTCTTCTACCAGTGATTACTTCCACACACACACACACACAATAAAACGAGAGGATAGACCAAGTTGGGACGGACTGCACTTCACTTTCTCCATAAAATCCACTTTCACTCCCACACCTTTATTTTTCCAGCCTCCACTTTCTCTCGGAACAAGAAGAAGAGCCACAACTACCAGACTGCACATCTTACATATCTTGGCTTCTCATTGTCTCATGAGCACAAGCCAAGTTTTATAAACTGTGCTGCAGAGAATAAGCGGATGTACGAGTTTAGTTGATACAAATCCATGAAACATATCGAAACTCCACTTAGATTTTCTTTATTTTGGCGCTAATTGAAATTTTCTCCATGGACGACTAGAGCGTCGTACAATTCTTATAGTTGGTGGAGGAAATTAAATGTCCGAGATAGGCACGCTAGAGCGAATACCTAAAGTCAACAACGCAGTTCTGCCGAATTATATAACGTTTGGAAAGCATTGCATGATTCAACTATGGCTCTAGTACACAAAACTAAATATTAAACATTATTGGACCACTTTAAGAAAACAGAAATTCACCTCAGATATAAATTTCATCATGTTGACAAGCAATGTAAGTATCAAAGTTGGTCCCTGTGAAAGGTCACCTGTGCCGAATCTGCTACAATTCGTCTCGTCTCTTCTACTACTCCTCAGCCCAGGTCACCCAAGCCATGGTTCACTTTCTCTCCATCAAAGGAAAACTTTTGGCTTTGTTCTCGAAATGAAAGCGAGAGACTGTCACTGCATACAAATTTCCAGCAATCCCTGCATTAGCTTTGGTCCAAGTAGGGAAGCTTTTCCCAGAAAGAGCTAGATAGTAGCGTAACTTTAGTCGGTTCCGTCCCTACTTACTTCCGATGTCTACTCTGTGGAACTTTATCTACCTGCTTGTGCGTCGCATTATCTGACATGAAACAAAGGGGAAGGACATACAGTGATAGATCGACAAAGAGAGATGGGCCAAAATTTACAACTATGCTGTCCATCTTAAACTTTTGATTTGATACATTAAGTTAATTTAAATACATCAGTTGACATGGGCTGACACGATGATATCAAAAGCGAATACTTCGCCCACACAAATACACACCCACCTATCTACCTACTTCATCGCTGGGCATGGTAACTTACTTGGTACATATTTTTCTACAGAAGAACTTACAATACTTGTTCTTGAAGAAGAACAACAAAAAAAGTGAGAAAAAGTTCAATCTGTTCAGGAAATTGGTTGTTAGGAAAGTCATAAAAAGTTTCTTGTCTCTTCTTCTTGTCCTTCTTGGTGGAGGTCTTGGAGTCGAAGTCACATATAAAAAAGAAGGAAGAAGAAAAAAACAAACAACGGCACAGGAACTACGTTTTGCTCGGTTGCCCCCTCACTACCACGGCCATGAAGAACCAGCGCAATAACAGTAGTGCAACTGACATTATGTGTGTTTAGGGGGAACAAATGGAGACAACTTCTTCGTACTAAAGCAAAGTTCGCCGCTTGTTAGGTGGATTTCAGCCCAAGAATAGTAATGTAACTGCTTTATTAGTATCTATGATGATGCCGAGACAGATTCACTTTCTCGCAATTAATGACACCTTATACCCTCCTTATCCACTTTATCTCTTGGTAACTTTCCAACAAACGAGACCAGACCGCAATACAATTTCTGAGAAAAAAATAAACTCCTTTTTGATATTATCTCGAAAAAAAAGAAAGAAATCCTTCCCAACCAAGTTCCACACAAATTGTGGTCGGATTAGTCGTATAAAAATCTCATATCACGCTCTAAGAATTGTACGTAGGAGAAACAGGGAAATAAATAATGCATCCAATACAACATAATACGTAATAAATATGACCGTCACTTTATGCAGCCTGCTTATTTATTGACCATGAATATGATTACATGAGAGCGCACTATTAACTATTAAGTGCAGCAAACAACAATAAAGTCAACTCTGTCCAACGATATTTCTAAACAGCGAGAGGTCTCCCATTTTTTCTTCGTCCTGTCCAATTTATTGAAGGAGGAAATCTTTAATGGGAGGTCGGCTCTGGGTAAAACGCTGCTGCACTCCACAGCACTTTAGGCTTCCTCCGCCTATCCACAAATTTTTTGTGACGGCTCCAAAATATGTGGCAATGTATTTTGAATGTAAAGTTTCAACTGCGCCACCAACAAACTCGTTCTGGAGAAAGTAAGAGAAAGATTGCTAAAAGATGAGATGACGAAAGTCCTGCATTGCGTCTCTCCTCGTCTCGACATGCGGCAAACCATACCCCAGAGAAGGGTAGTAAGCAACCTTGTTTTTAGCTCATCCATCCTCGAATCATTTTCTGGGTGACAAGTTAAAAAATGAAAGTTTCTCCCTGCTCAGCCATGCACCATGGACGGACGTATGTGCTCACACAATTGAAATATTGCGAGATCTCGTATTCATTTATTTACAGAAATACGTGCAACCTCCTCGTCTCGTCTGAAATTGTAGGTAGATGGTAGTTATGCACAAAAATATGTTTTTTTCTCTGCTTTTTCCTCATTGCACAACTGCACATCCAACCAACTTGGCGATATGTACATACGTATTTTTATCTGTGTGTCCTACTTCTTGCATAATGGCATCTCCTTCGTCGGGGAATGTGGCAAGGCAGGAAGGAAGGGAAAGTTGAGATGTAAGTGGGCGAAAACAAGGCGGAGGAAGAGAATGAAGTGAAACGAACCGATATCTTTGACAAAGGAGGTCAGTCTGATAACCAAACAAAAACACTTTACGAATACTGAAGACGAGAAAGGGCAGCATTTGTAGTAGAAATACGTACAAATTTTGTACGTATTTCGTAGTAGTGAGTAAGTAACGTGACGCGATAATTTGCTCTCATTGTGATGTTGGTATAATTTCTTTACGTCATGTCCACCAATACAAACAAGTAATACTGCTTGGCATTCAGGCATGGTCACACACCAAACTAAACGAGCTTTCAATGCCCAAGTGTAAATAAAGTGAGGATATAAAACCTTTTTACGACTTAATTTTGACTTTAGTCCCATTTTATTGAAATGGCCTTGCTTTCTGGCGTGGGTGATTTGTGGATTGGCGAAAAGATAGTTGCAGACTGTTTATGTTAGCAGTGGAGGAAAAATGCGCTCAATTACTTATTTCTGCGTCATCTTGAACGGATTGAATAGTGAAATGAACATTATCGTCGCTTGTAAGCCCCTTTTCTCCTCACATTATGTGCCGCTCTTCTCGCCATAAGCCTTTTGCTCGAGTGGTACCTAGAGGACTTAACCACACAAAAGTGAAAATCGGATTTTGACTCCGACTCCTCTACAAATGAAGCGAGATGACGTAGGACAGAGTGAAAGTGAAAGCAAACAAATTCCTCTCGTGATGAGAAATGGGTTGGATTTTGAATGGGGCACACAGCAGCAGAGTTAAGGCGAGAGTCATTAAGGGAGAAAATCCTGCCTCGATTTCTCCCCCGTCAGCCAGCTTTCTCCCAATTCCTTTCCGATCAGTAGTAGTACATGCACTGAGCACAATGCAATTGAGTGGAATAATTCGTCGAAAGAAGAAAAATGAGTTCTAATTTCCATTACATAAGTTCTTCATTGTTCCGCCGATTCTGATGATGAGTTCTGTCGGCTTTCTTTCACCTGCTAGATTCCATCGCCCGATGGGTGAAATTCATCATTGACAAAACCCTCATTTTTTGCTCACTCTTCAAGTGTAATTGCAGACGGGGAATAACTCGTTTGCACGAAAAAACTGTGCAGGTTGTTGATCTGGGTATGCACGTAGCTACATACTCTCGGCGAATATGCGAGAATCTACTCTTGCCAAAATTTGCCAAAGCAGCCTCATTTTGCATTTTACAAGTAAATCTCCCAACCTTTTGAACTCTTTGGACCAACATGCATACGAAGCCTGTACGTATTTCAAGTGAAAGTATCAAAGTACAGGAAAAGTGACGAGTATTCCGTGTCCGTGCTTGCTTCAAAGTTTTGGTAGAAATAAAGTTACGGCCCTTCATTCAAATTAGTCGAGCTTCACCTCACCCAACGTAGGTTACAATAAATTGTGAGTCGGGATGGAAATAAATTTCGAATATTCCGTCCGACTCGCCTGTTTCAAGAGTTGAGTCAGATGGATGGGAAAGGAAGTTGTCAGTTCAACTAGATCAGAAATTTAACAAGAAGAAGACGACTTTCTAGCCTCACTTTACACCAATCTCAATAATTTCCTCCAAACCCTACCTGCCAACCATAATTCTTGCCCAGGCATAAAAACCGCAAGCAAATCAGCTATTGGCCCAGGCACATTAGGCAAAGCTGCAGTATAGCATATAATGCACGTGTATGTAGTAGTACCACGATTGGTAATACGGAACTCGCATTCCGCCGAGGGACCAAACAGACAGACAGATCGACTCTAACCAGGTGCAACATTAATTATTAAGCACCTTGTCCAAACTTATTTTTCTTCCTCCTTGGTGAAAGTGGTTATTAAGTGGAAGAGACAACCATCGCATATCGCATTGGATGATGATTCCAACCTCACAAACTCAAATTTAATTCCCATCAAGGAAGAATGGACACTTTTTCCTCCATTCCTACATATCTGGTTGGTAAACAAGTCCATCTCTTTTCCAGGGCTGCTAAGTTTTCTCCAATTTGTAAAAAATGATATTGTAAGGAAAAAAGCCTTTCATACAAATTCGGAGAGAAAGTTATGTTCACCAAGGAAAAGTAATGAACTGCGAGTAGCTCAGCTCTTGTATCGCTTTACATTCATTCTCATGAAGAAAGCTTTTTTTGTGCAGTCGACGCGAGCAGATAGATTGGCTGACTCGCTACAACTACAAAACACTGGCTGGTTAGTCTTTTATGAAGCTCAAGGCAAAGGATATAAAAAACTGAGCCTGTGTCTACAGCTTTCTCTCCTCGTAGCTGATCTGATGCACTTCCTAATTCATTTGGGGAATCAAGTATCACACGAGTATCCAAACAAGTCGTCGTCGTGGAGGGTTTTCATTTTTAGTATTAAAGAATGAGCTCTGCCTTGGGCAAATTTGGACGGAAAATCGAATGTGAATGCTCTCCTTAGGCTGCTGCTGAAGAGAAATTTGAGCTTCCTTCCTCCTCAGAGTTTACAAGAGTGAGATCAATGATAATAATAAAAATCCCTTGGCGAATTACATAACCTTGGCTGCGCTCTCGCTGTTTTCGGGGTTCACCAAGTAAAAACTAACCTCAGCACTTTCCTAAATACAAGGACTGAATCCCCACCAACTTGTGTCAAGTGCAGTATAAATTGGGCTGAGTAATGAGACGACTTTGGTCTTATTATGGGATGCAGAACCCGAACAGAACTATTAAAAAAGCCGTCTTTTATTTAAAGACAATGAAAAGATAACAAAAGAATTGGAAAAGTTTTAAATTAATATCCCAATTTTAAAATGGTTTGACTGTATCAGAATTTAATCAGAAAAGGGAGACGCACAGTTTGTGGGGTGAAAACCATAATAATATTCGTGCCCCTAATTTGCTCTCGTGATAAAATCCAAGCACTTAGTTTTCATTCGAAAGCATCTGTTAAATTTGAGCTGCTCTTTCTTCTCTTGTCCACGGTTCGAAATATTCCCGTGGATGTGCTGAGCGAGGTATATATGGTCCCACAACTACCTATTTATTCTCCAGATAACTGAACAGAGAGAGCCCGGTAATTGCAGGACTCGACCAATCTAAATGAAACAGGAAGTAGCGGAGTGACTATAAATGTGAAATGTCTCTGTTAAAGGAGAAAGCACGAATTTTCAACTTGCCCGAAAGTCTCAATTATCCTTTAAAATGGACGATTTCATCCAAATTTGGGAGGAATATGGCCACCTCCTCGTCTCGCCGTAGCCACCACTCCTGCACTTAAAAAGTCTAGCCCTAAACCCTATACCCGTGCACGTGACTTTCTCCAAGAAGCCTCATTATAATTGCAACATGTTAAAGAAACAGTATAAATTTAAAGGGATGAACTCGACCAGAATTTCATCTTCCTCTCGATCCCTGCTTGCTGCTCCGAACTCTTTACCGTTTTAGTAAAATAAAGTAGTCGTAGTCCTTCCAGCACTATCTTACTTATTCTCCTGCAGAAGATTCCGCTTTTCCTGGTTGTGAGGAACTCAAATTCTTTGAGAAGAGAGGAAACCTAATGATCCCACCACTACCCAATGTCCGCATGTGAAATGGAATGGATGAGGGATTTTCTCATAAAAATGGAACGGAGAGAACCTAACGAAAAGGACGACGAGCATGTAAGTATGTACGATGTTCGGTATATTATGGAATGACAGCAGCAGCAGCAGCATCGTGTATTTATTTCACCTTCTCCCACTTTCACTCCCTCTTCCTTATTCCTGGGAGAAATTGGGAGTCGGGTCATGTTTCTAGAATTCACACCTTGAAAGCTTACTTCTTGAAAATTCCATCCATTTTTTATTTGTGTCTCTTTCACATTCTCTCTGTCAGCGTTCGACTCGGGATGGTGGTGCATGGAGGTGGGAAGGAGGATGAGGGAGCTCAGATCCAGGCTTGGTGCATACTTCGACTATCTAGTTTTCTAAAAACTTAGTTTGGAAACTTTGAAATAAGAAAATCTATGCATATTAAATCCAACCATGTCGTATATTTGTTTATGAAAGGGCTTGATTAGACGATGCAGAGTCATTTTCCTTTCTCCAACGTATCTAGTAACAAACATTCATCAAGCTGCAGATGTAAGTATGGTCTGTGATTGTAATGCATTGAGAAGAAAGCAAACTAGTCGTCGTTTTTTTCACCGAGCATTTTCTCAATTTTGCCATTTTTCTTCCTGTCGATTGCAGGCAATTCTAGGAGGAGGAAGCTTTTCCCCGATAACTTGTTCATATACTTTTTGAAACCTACGTATTTCATCGAGATATCTTTTTCCCCATTCATTCAGCGTATGTATGTACCCAAGCTTCAGGAATCCGCCGACCAAATTTAAGAGATTGATAAAAGTGAATGAATGAAGAGTGAATGACAAGGCAGACAAAAATGGAATTCTGATCGTCTCCTGTCAACTCCTTCCTATGTTTCTCATTTCTTGAGAATAAGAAGGAGAAGAAGAATCCATCACGAATCAAGAATTCATTCACCGGCATAACTCCGACCAAACCTGCTGTTGTGTTCAGAGTCCAGAATGCACAAAGACCCTTTCTTTGACGTTCTCTCTATTTTGGGAAGAAGCCAAGCAAGTCCCTCTGCAAGAATGGCGAACTGCAGAAAAGGCATCGTAGTTCACCTTTTTCGGAGGTATTCATTCCAACATATCCAAGTATTTTGACAGACAAAAAATAACAGAAATATTTTTCTTTTTAAATATTGGCCCCGTTTTTACTACGAGATTTCCACGAGGTCGGGTCAGATTCATATACATATTTACATTTCCATTCCACCTGCTCTGCTAAATATTGAAGTAATGCGATACCCCACCACTGAATACCTGGCGAAATTCCATCCTGATTCTGATCAGCTTTAATATCGTTGTGGGAAGGATATATGTAACTTTACGACAAAGGAACCTGTCTTTTACGACATAGATATCAGATAACATTGCATATAAACAAATTGGAAAGGTGTCACGTATCATAATAAAGGAGGAAATATTCCAATATATTTAAATATTTACTTGTAATGGAGATGATGATTCTGGGAGGAAAAAGAAGCTAATAATCTTCCCACCACGGTATGAATTTGATTTTTAATTTCCCACAAAAAAACAAGTAACAGAAATTAAATTTTACAACTTCCATTAATCTTGCATTAAATTTATCTAGCAACCTGTAATTATGCGAAACATTTGCAACCTGCATATAAGCAATAATCTGACAAATCTACGCCCTACGAGCAAGAACAATTCCGTCATTTAATTTTATTTCATCTGCTGACGAAGGTAGCACATCTGCACTCGGAATGCAAACTCAGCATGAAAAAAAATTAGAACGGTTATGGCGAAGGTTTGGTTTGGCGGAGAGGTTCTCGTGGGTGCCAAGTGGGAGGAAGGAAATGTTATTCATAATTTGTCTCAAAGTGGTACTAAACCCCTCTCTCCTGGACAGTTATGAGTACGTAAATCTCTCCGGAATCTGACTGTACTTCAATTATTTTAATGTCCAGTAATTCAAACCAACCACAATTATGCTTTGCTTGATCTTGCTCCTGATGCACTATTCCATAACTAATGTTAACTTATGTGGTATCAACTTTGCTGGACCGCAATATTTTGCGAAACATTTGGCAATGGTTGAACTCAAAGGGATCCTCGAAATATGCAGTCGGATTTTCCGAAAGTGGGAATTGCACATCCCACCCCATGAATTTATATATGTTAAATATGCATATCTTACCTCATAATGAAGGCCACGATGGACTGGTGCTCGTGCTTTCCAACGATGACTGGCACATAAAACTTGGCATGTGGATAGAGTGATCCTTGCGGGACGAGGAGTTTGACCGCATCGCTGGCCTCCGCCTATAGACGAAATAGAGGGACTCAATTTCATTCTTGTAGGTCAATGCCCGGATGTCCAGGTTCTTTTATTTTTATTTTTCGTTATTATCTCATCATTTCAATGTACCTTCACCACGCGGTATGACTTTTGAGCATCCACCAACATGACCGTTGCGAGGGGGGTGGGAGGTTGAATCTGAATTCGTTTTGTGCCCCCGCCTTCTCCTGGGATTCCAGAGCTGTGGGTGGTGGACATTCCGACCTCGTTGCAGTGTCCATTCTCAGGCTCGTAGACGGCATACGACACCTAAAATTGAATAAGAAAAACGAGCGAAAAATCAATAATAATCTTCATTCAGCGTTATAATAAACGCGACTAATTCAACACGTATTTTCACTCCAATAACCAACCATCCAAGCAACGGAAGATATATCCAAACCCAATCGCAGGAATGTGACACTTGGGTAAAACTCTCATAATTTATGGTCCACACACATTACTGTGTTCTTGGTCCAAACATGGAGAATATCGGATTCTCTGTGTGGATAGAGGCATAATAATTCAAAAGAGCCCGAGTAGTGTCTCTTGAACCGTGCCAAATATGGAGAGGGTGACGTATTGTGTGGGATACGTATTGTGTATCATTTCCCTCTCCAATTTCCTCTTACAACTCATTCTTTTGAAATTCCACAGCATACAAATTTCTAGTGGGAAATTTCTGCATATATCAAAAACAAATTACAGGGTGCACTGGATTTGATGTACTATCAACCACTTTTGTTGACCATCCTTCATTTCCAGAAGACCAGCAGGCAGGTCCAATGTTATGGTCATATCTTTCTCTCTACTACAATACACATGTTAGCAGGGAGGTGAACCGTAGCTCAATAAATTATCAACCAACCGCTTCCGAAATGCCAACCATTTATCAAGCGTCGTTGTAAGGAGAACGAGAATGTCATTGGAGAGAATGATCGCTTTTAAAATTTTGAGTGACTTTTGTGCATGTTTTCCTCCATGTATGCGTACACAGTTGGGTTATCATACTTATATGTCAGGCTTTGTTTAGATATTAAACTACGGCAACGCAGGGTACACAAGTAGCGCAAAAATGCTGAGAATGCAAGATTGCTTGACAATTTATCATAATAATACAAGGTTACGACAGTTGCTTCGATAGCCTCAAAAACCTCCATTTTTGAAGTGCTAATTATTTGGGTCGTCGCTAACGGTAATTAAAGCACAAAAATTTCTGCCAGAACGCCGAAATAGCTGATTTCACATTTACAACTGCACTTATTCTTGTATCCATGGTTAAAAAATTAATTCGTGAGAACGAAATGTGAGTGCTGACAATTTTTGTGCGGTATATTTCTGGGCGACAGTTTGTGCGGCGCACACTGGTTCCAAAAGGTACCAGGGTTTTCGAAAATTAAATTTTTTTCATCGTCGAAGCAAGCATCATGAAGACTGTGAAGAGACGAAGTTGCAGTTGGCATGTAGATTATTACAAAAATTATCACAAGGTGCCAGTAATGATGGGAAGTTCCTTCACTCTCTGATTTTACATGAATTTTGTCAACTTCTAATTTATTCATACTACAAATACAAAACCCAGCCTTATATTTGTAGCTTTGTATATTTGTAGCCTTATATTTGTAGATTTTGTGTTATTTTAACATAATTAAGCATGTGCCCCTTCCCATGATGTCGCAATCGAAAAACTGACCTCAGATTCGAAATCAGCGACCAAAAAACTATAAGAATCGACATTTACCCAATGCTAACGACGTCGAAATAATTAATTGAATTATTCGTAACAATTGTAAACATTTGAGATAGGCCGCTATAACATATGTAGGCAATGTAGGTATACATATATAGTAGTTATATAGTATATAGTATATAGCACAACTTCCACTTGTATACCTGTGTATAGCTATGTATAACATATGTGTATGTATATAACTACTAAATATATATATACATAGTATATATGTGATATATAGCTATACACAGCTGTATACCTATAGCACGCATGTGCTATATACTATATGTGAGGCCGCTTATCTCAGGTGCTATTAATATACATAGGCTATTAATAGCACCAAGTCATACAGTATGACTGGGTGCTATTTATAGCAGAACTTTCACCGGGTGCTATTTATAGCAGAACTTTCACCGCCCTCCAGAGGGTATAAAAGGAGCTGCACCAGAAATTTTTGTCAGTCTGCGGGAGGCGCTCGTGGGGGACGTGTCCCTGGGTGAGCTCCCCATTGTAGCCGCGCCCCTGGACCGCCCTGCCTCTCTGGGGAGTCGGGTCCACCCGTGGTTTGTCCCACAGCCCCGACTCTCTTCCCGTTGGAGGGGTGGTCCGGGGGAGCAACGCTGCAAGGGGAGAGCCTTACGGGAAGGTCCCCCCTCCAATGCTCCTCCCACCAAGCAGGCTCACCGGGTGGGGAGCCGGCGGGGCTTGCCAAAAGTGCGGGTGGCGCTTGGCAAGTGAGAGGGGCTCTCTACCTCCAACCCTTGGGTGACGCCGCTCTTTAGCGATACCTCCCCTTGGGGCCGACCGGGTTCCCGAGTTCGAAGCCTTAATGGGGGCCGATTTACGGGTGCGCTCCACCTCGTAAGGCGAGGGTCAGACGGGCCCCCTAGGGGAACGCGGTTGCAGAGGCGGTGACGTGGGCAGGGCTTTCCCGGTCGGTGGAGGTCTTGCGTCTCCGGGCGCAAGTGGGGGCCGACCCGCGTGGAGCACGAGGGAGCGACGTCCTCGTCGTGTGCTCTGGAAACGCCCTTCTCAGGGCGGCCAACAGCTCCCCCCCCCTTATAAATTAATGGCATGGCGACAACCTTTGTCGCCATGCCATAATTTCGCCATTTCTCGTCCGATTTGCATGAAATTTCGACAGACACTTCTTATTGGTGTTGTCGACATGTCGCAATGCTCCACCTACCGCCACCACCTTGTTTTCGCCAAATTTCGTCGCCATGCCATAATTTCGCCATTTCTCGTCCGATTCCCATCTAATTTCGACAGAGACTTCTTATTGGTGTAGTCGACATGTCGCAATGCTCCACCTATCGCCACCACCTTGTTTTCGCCAAATTTCGTCGCCATGCCATAACTTCGCCATTTTTCGTCCGATTTCCATCAAACTTCGACAGAGACTTCTTTTTGGTGTTGTTGACATGTCGCAAGGTCCCACTCACCGCCACACCCTTGTTTTCGCCAAATTTCGTCGCCATGCTATAATTTCGTCATTTCTCGGCCGATTTGCATGAAATTTGGCACAATGCATCTTATTGGTGTTGTTGACATGTCGCAAGGTCCCACTCACCGCCACACCCTTGTTTTCGACAGATTTCGTCGCCATGCCATAATTTCGCCATTTCTCGGCCGATTTGCATGAAATTTAGCAAAAAGCTTCTTATTGGTGTTGTTGACATGTCGCAAGGTCCCACCCGCTGCCACCCCCTTGTTTTCGCCAAATATCGTCGCCATGCCATAATTTCGCCATTTCTCGTCCGATTTATATCAAACTTCGATTGAGACTTCTTTTTGGTGTTACCGACATGTCGCAAGGTCACACTCACCGCCACCACCTCGTTTTCGCCAAATTTCATCGCCATGCCATAACTTCGCCATTTCTCGTCCGATTTGCATGAAAGCACGAAGTTCGTAGTGACTAGGGAGTAATATTACTTACGTGTTTGGAAGTAGAGTCACAAGATGGATGAAGCTGAAGATGAACTTTGAAATTCGAACCCATTTTTGAAACATTTGTCCCAAAGAGTCTTATTCAAATCCAATCACTGTAATCATATCGAAGATATTACGGTTTTCACTTAAGGTTGAGCAGTGCGGCCAACATTCTTACGGTGCCTGGTTTTTTTTCTCGTAAGGTGAGACATGGTGAGTGTGGTGAGGCGAACCTCACAACACTCGAAGAATATGAGGTGAAATTGGTAAAATTTGTATGTGTACGGGGGGTGATCCATATCGATTTTAAAAATTGTCTTAATAAGATGAAATTCAGTCCAGACACTCGTAGAAGACTGAAATTTAGCATGCTGGATTATGGGAACATTTTTTCCGATTACGAATTGTAGTTGGTACAAGTCATCTGACTAAAATTTAGAAGCAGACACTTACCCTGACTTGGGCTAAATAAACACTGCACACTGTTGGTTTTCAAAAATATCCCACTCCACCAGTTTAAATGCCTTGGTACAATAAAATTTAATGTAAAATGGTTTGTTTAACCGAAACCGCAGAGTCTGACTCGGGCTAAATAAAGGCTGCATACTGGAGAGTTTAATTTTCGAAATAATACCCTCAAGATTTTTAGCTTAAAAAATCAAGCTAAAAATTACTATGATTTCATCTCTACGAATGAAGTCTCTATGTCTATTGTCTACCCATTCAAAAGTTATTAAAGGTCAAAGTCGTTGGTATTTTGGACCATGGGAGAAGTACCAACAAAATTAAAAATAATTATTTTTTGTTGCAACTCCATCATTTGTCGCAACCGTTAAAAGACGCAAGTGTTACCTAGATACTTAATGTCAAGCAATCGTGCTGAGAATGCGATACAAAATATAGGAAATATAGATTTCCGAATCTTAATTATTTAAAAATAATAAAATAATTTAGATTTCCTCATTTATTTGCCACTCTGAAAAATCGTGCATCTTACGTGTTTTACTGTTTTATCAATCTTAATTAATCAATCAATCTTGCTGCTTTACATGTCCTACATGTTAGATTCAATTTTTATAAAAATCTCATTTTTCCCCAACCACACCCGCTGGGTGTCAGGAGGTGTGGTCCGGTTGACACCAAAATTTGGGGGGAACCTCCCCCTGTGGTCGTATGTATGATACCACAAACTGATTTCGATTATCTCGACCCGTTCTCCCGTTATCGTGTTGACAGACGGACGGACGGACAGACTAACTAACTCATCGCGTAGCTTGCGGTACTTAATAAATCTAGGCACTTATTTGTGAACTAGAACTAGTACATAAATACAAATCGTCGCAAGGATATATATTTCTCGGGCCAATTTAGAAGAAGAACCAGAGTAATTACAAAACTTTTGTGGACGAGTGGTCCTAGAATTTCGCAGCCTACTTTTTCTACACATAGATGATTCCCATTGATTCACACGTATTTTACTCTAGAGTCATCGGACGTGTCTCTAGCATGCAATTTTGGATTCCGTTTTCGCCAACCTGTCCAACTTTGGACATAGCTATCATAGACTTTTATACACGCACACACATGTTAGTGATGTTGAGAA